ACCCCAAAATAACTCTTAGAAGCTGTGATAGGATTTTTGTCTTTAGAACTAGAAAAATGCATAGATTCAGCTTGAATTGTGACCTCACTATTTTGTACTCTACATTTATCATCTTCTATTTTTGAGTAGAAACAATAATTATTAATGTCATACCCACCAAATGTAATGACATCACTATTAGGCCCACGAGCAAGTCTCAAAAGTGTTTTTGAAACATTAATCTCAACATATACCTTTTTTTTAAACCAAGAAAGGAAACTTTTGTTATGTTCATTCAATACCCATTTTTCATTCATTCGTGGATGTGTTGCCTTTATTTCAGTTATGTGTTGTGATATGTAAGGGATTACTTCATCAGTGTTGTTCAATATGTATAAATGTGCTTGGTCAACTTCTTTCCGACTAACATTTTTAATCTTTAAATTTTGAGTACCCTTACCTTCACATCTTCCATCATGTCTCATCTTAGGAATACCTATTGGTTCTGATTTTGACATGTATCCTAAACAAAACTCAATGACTTCTTCTGCAATGTACCTTTCCACAATAGAAGCTTCTGGCCTGTACTGATTCTTCACATATCCTTTTAAGATCTTCATGTATCTCTCAACAGGATACATCCATCTAAGAAAAATTGGATCACATAACCGAATTTCCCTTACCAAATGGACTATCAAATGCACCATGATATCAAAAAATGAAGGGGGAAAATACATTTCTAACTGGCACACTATGACAATTGCTTCATTTTCTAATTCATCTAACTTTTCTAGATCAATTACCTTTTTACAAATGGCGTTGAAAAACAAACATAACCGAGTAATAGCAATTCTAACAGAAGTTGGTAAGATGTTTCGAATAGCCACTGGTAAAAGTTGTTGCATCAACACATGACAATCATGAGACTTTAAACCAACTAATTTCAACTCTTGCATAGACACAAGACTCTTAACATTTGAGGAGTATCCTTGTGGCACTTTGACCTCACGTAAACACTCACAAAAGCTTCTCTTTTCTTTCTTTGATAGAGTATGACAAGTCTGGAGGTAAGTAAGTGCGTTTTCCAACTGATTGTGGATGTAATTCGAACGTATATCCATGTACTGCCAAATCTTGTCTTGCTTTTATTCCATCTTTTGTCTTTCCTTTTATGTTAAGCAATGTCCCAATTATACTATCACAAACATTTTTTTCAACATGCATCACATCTATACGAGTGTCTAACTTCCAACTTACACCAATAAGGAAGATTGAAGAATATAGACTGTTTCTTCCAAATGTTTTTCTCATTGGATTTCTTTTGGGTCTTTCCAAACACAATATTAATATTTTTCACTTGCTCATATACTTGTTCACCATTGCGTGGTACTGATGCAACCGCATTCTCCTGACATCCATTAAATGCTTTTTTCATTTTACGATATGGATGATTAGCAACTAGAAACTTTCTATGCCTATTGTACGCAGTTTTTTATCCATGTTTCAATTTGATATAACTTGTGTCTTCTTGACATAAAGGACACGTTAAATGACCTTTCACACTATAACCGCTCAAATTACCATATGCTGGAAAATCATTTATAGTACAAAATAACATTGCACGCAACCTGAAATTCACTTCGTGATATGAATCAAATACATCCACTCCTGTTTCCTACAACATCTTCAAATCATCAATTAAAGGACTAAGATATACATCTATGTCATTTCCTGGTTGTCGAGGTCCTGAAATCATCATAGATAACATCATATATTTTCTCTTCATGCATAACCAACGAGGCAAATTGTAAATGATCAACAAAATTGGCCATGAACTATGTTTACTACTTAAATTTCCATAAGGATTCATCTCATTTGTAGCTAATCCAATTCTCAAGTTTCTTGGCTCTGCACCAAATTCTGGAAAGGTTTCATCAATCCTTTTCCATTGTGGAGAATCAACTGGATGTCGAAGAAAATTATCACATTTTCTACCATTTGCATGCCATGTCAAGTTTCTTGCATCTTCTTTTATGGCAAATAATCTTTTAAACCTAGGTATAATTGGCAAATACCATAACACCTTAGCAGGGGGACCATCTAGTTCTTCCTCACCACTACTTTCCTCAACTTTGTTTTTGTACCTCGACAAACCACATGTCGGACACATCTTTAATTTAGCAAAATCGTTTCTGTACAATATACAATCATTAGGACATGCATGTATCTTCTTGTACTCTAAACCCATTGGACATAATATTTTCTTTGCCTCATAGTTACGAATAGGTAATGTATTATCTTCAGGAAGCATCTCCTTCAACAACTCCAATAATTCGGTGAAACTTTTATCAGTCCATCCATTTCTTGCTTTTAAAGTAAACAATTTTAAAGTTGCTTGATAATCTTGTAAAACTACATCCTATGTACAATTGTTGCGCAAAATCAGATTTCAAAGAATCATATAGATGTGCTTTCATAAAATTTTCTTCACCAATATCACGTATCATATCCTCTAGATTATCATCCATCCCTTCATCAAAATTGTACGTAGTTGACACAGTTGGGATGTCTAATATTTCTCCATGTCATGTCCATATTGTATAACTCTTAATAATACCATAAACAAACAAGTGATCACGCATATCCTCAAGTTTATGACGAATTTGATTCAGACAACGAACACATGGACAATAATATGTCCATTTCATAGCTTTTCCATTTTCACTAGCAAATTTCAAAAATTTCTCAACTCCCTTTTCGTACTCTTCACTAATACGACATGCATTCATCCAACTTCAATTCATATTATGTTATAAAGTTTCGTCACTCCTAGAGATTTAAAAATTATATGTAAAAAGAAATTAATATACAAACAACAAAGCACGTTCCAACAACAATGGAGTGTGTAAACCAAATGCACTCAAACAAATAAACAAATAATTACATTCAAATAACAATTCAGTGGAGACATTCATACTATAACGTGATTGAGATCCCCAAAAACAATCACGGATTCAATTTAAACATATAGCAATGACATAGAACACTAACCTCGAGTGTAGACGAAAAATGATTTCAAACTCGAATCCAATCGGGGAGAAATATGAAGTTCGTAAAATGACACACAATGTTGATGTTTTTCACTGTCAAACTGATCGAAAATGGTGTGCAGAGGTAGCTGTTGTCGTCGTTCTTGTCGTCGTTCTCAAAAACCTGGTTGTGCGGGACGAGGGAGTGGGATTGGGCGGAAATAAAAGAGACTTTTTACGTCGCGCATCCCAGCACGCGACGTAAAAAGCACTCTTTTACGTTGCACCTGGGTGGCGCGACGTAAAGGTTTTGTCTCTTATTTACAAAATTGTCACCGTGTTTTATTTACGTCAAATATTTTTACATGTGACGACAATTGGGTGACGTAGAAGCCCTTTTTTGCACTAGTGTAATATAATCAGAAAAAGAGAAAGAGATAAGGAAAATAGAAGAGTACACAATAATTTATACCGGTTCGGGTATAACTAATCCTACATCCAATTCCCAGTCAACTCTAATCACAAGAGTGACTCTCAATTTACTATCTTTTAAATTCAGTTCACAAATTACAATCAACTCAGTAGAAGAATCAGTAAAAAGTAAAACTAATTCAAAAGACAATCACCTCCTGAGAAACCCACTAAGGATGAACACTTCCCTAGAATCTCACTAGGGATGAACACCTCCTCTGAACAAATCAAAGGATGAACACACCTCCTTAGATTCTCACTAAGGATGAACAACTCTCTAGAATCCCACTAGGGATGAACACCTCCTTTGAACAAATCAAAGGATGAAACAACCTCCTAAACCCACAAAGGATGAACACCTCCCTAGAATCTCACTAGAGATGAACACCTCCTCTGAACAAATCAAAGAATGAACACACCTCCTTAAAATCCCACTAAGGATGAACATCTCCCTAGAATCTCACTAGGGATGAAAACTTTTTTTTAACAAATCAAAGGATGAAACAACCTCCTAAACCCACAAAGGATGAATGAGTAAGATAAGAACCGTCACACCTGAGTAATGGAGACAACAAATTGTAGAAGCATGTAGAATGCAAATATATAATAACAAGTGTGATTAACAATGAGAGCACAGAAGATAGTAGATAAGAGAGTTTTCTCGAGAAAATGTAAAATATTTGTTGTTTTGCTCGAATTTTTTCCTCAAAGCTGATTGAATGTAAATTATATTTTTGAATTACGTAATTATGTATTTTTTATTTTTCATCAAAACTTAATTAAATAGAAAAATAGTATCGAGAAAATGGTCGTTGGACATTAATATTTTCGTGAATAAAAATCTGGATATATTCAAAAATATTTATTCTTCAAAATAGATATATTTTTCAAATTTGAATTGCTATAATTGATTATGTTACTAGTATAATCAATTATGATAGAGAAAATCATTTTTTTCATTTCGATGCATCATAATTGATTATGATAGTGAAAAATATCATGTTATGAATTTTATCACACTTGTGTTTTGGAGGCTTATGCATAATATTACTTCATCAACTTGTACCTCTATATCCAGTAGTTCTAATACTCTATCTAGTCTTCAAGAATCATCTAGGACTTGCTTGAATGTTGAATAAAATCTTTATCAAAATCATATATTGAATTTACTTGAATCTTGAATGTTATTGACTTGAATCATCATCAAAATCATTTCTTCGAAACATATCATCAATTTGCCCCGCTTTCACATAATTCATTATTTAGAATAAAACAATTGATAATAGTGATAGGTTACAGTACTCGCATGTTCAAATTAAAATTTGAAAATTTGATAAATGCGACATTTTCTGGATGCACGATAAATGAAGTCCAATCAAATTGCTCATCACTTGCCCCTCCCAATGACTTTCTTTTCTTTACATTTTGTTATTAGGTCAACACCAATGTTCACATTAAATCTTAAAGATACAAAACGAGTTGAAAATGAGGGCAAATTACATTGCTGACCTATTCTATCTTTCAAATAAATTGCATTGACATTGCAGACTGTGTCTCAAAAATACGATTAAGAGTTGCAGCCAATCGAACTCCTCCTTGAGCTAATCTCAAATTCACTATCGGAAAACGAGAAAAGAAGTATTCATCTGCAGAGTGCATTTTCATGGCGTAATTAGTACGAAAGATGAAACCAAACTTCTCATAACCATAAAAAACTCTCGTTGCTTACCTTCTAGTACTGAACCTTCACTGGCATCTTTATACGCCCATTTACACGCATCTGCGGCACTTTCAGATGCATATCTAAAACATAAACCCAGGTTAACAGCCCATATTTTCAATAAAATTTAAATTTACTTTTGCTTCATTCGAAATCAAATTCTAATTGCAGAATTAGTTTTCAAGTTTTTTAAAATTAAGCAGTTTAGGTTAGCATTGATATTTGCTTTGAAAGAAAAAAGGTAAAGTTTGATGTATGATGGCAGTAATGGATTCTAAGGGACGTACATAGCTGGGCATGATATGTCATCGTTACTGCAGTTCTCCCATTCTTCTACTTCATCAGCCCATGTTTTCTGTTTATTAAAACAAAACAAAAAACGAACATCAAAGGATTAATCCTTAGGTTGAAGATAACAGAAGATTCTGCACACAATACCGTAATGTTTTGTTGAATTGCATCAACGAAGTCGTCGATGTCGTCGTAGAATCTTTCAACTTCTGTTTCAATTATGCTAGCATCCCAAATCTGTACGCATATGATATGTATACTAGATTTTAGCAGAAACAGATTATATTGTTGTGTGGTTGAGGAAAATTAGAATTTGACCTACATGGTGAAGATTTTGCTTTCTTTTGTACCAGTGAACACTGATGTCATTGCCACCCTTGTCCGATGCAAACCCACAATGTAGAGGCTGTTCTACATAAACCGTGTATAAGAAGTTATTAGAAAAAGTATTTTTTTTTTAATTAATACTTTAGTTTAAAAAATTTTCTAAAACATAAAATTTTAGATTTTTAAAACATAATACACTAAAAGTCAATATAGCAGCACTTTAGTCAATAAAATAGGTCTATAATGCATACCTGATGGATGTCTCCCATAAAATGTGAAATGAATAGAAGAGATTGAGTGAGATTATCTGATATCGAGAAGAAAGAAAATTGTTAGTATGATCGAAAATCGTGATGTGGATATATATATACAACATTAGTTCGAGATTCACATTTTGATTTGGGCTCACTGCCATATTCGAGGAGCTGGTTGGTGTAATTGGTAATCGCTGATACAACACATCGCCCTTTGATTCCAGTTTTCAAATCAACACAATCCCCTGAATAATGTTCAAACATATATAGCAAGTTATAGTAATATGCTACATTAAATTTATATTCAATCTTGAAATCTAATTATAAAATGATTAATGGTATGGTTTCACAAAGAAGGATGAGTTGAGAGAAGAAAAGAAAGTTACTGGTTTGCTTGTAGTTGCAAGCGTTGTCAGGAGTATCTGCATAGTGCAAAGCAGAAGACCAAGGAAAGACCACCTTCAAACTATCAGCCCAAGAACACTTGCTGGCCAGGTCATTGTTCGCAGATTTTGGCAACAGTTTCTTCACAGCTGCTGCAGCTGCACTGTTCAGCCGACCCTGCTCAAAATCAAATCAAAGATAAAATAAAAAAGGAACCTAAGTGATTGACATAAAAGGTTTTTACACACAATAAGAATCCAAAACAAAAAGGTAGATAAGGAGAGGCACCTGAGCTATCTTACAAACAATGGCATGTCCATCCTCTCCCCAGGCATGAGTTTTTGGAAGCAAAAGCATGAAGGAGACTATGGCCACTACCTGAACTACTCTGTAACAACCCATTTTTCTCTACTCTTCAAAACTATGCAAATACCCCACTAATACACGCTTCTATATATATATATATATGCTTTAAATGTCTATGAATATCCACTGTGCTTGTGGGTTGGGAGTAATATATTAATGTGGTTTAGGTTAGGTGAACATGGGCGTTCGAGGATGTGATATATTATAATCTGGTTGAAGTCTATGTCTATCTACCATGCAAGTGGGAAAATAAGGATATAAGAGGGATATTCCCTTTGCATGTGGTGATGGGAATATTGCAAATAGCGTCATGAACTTATTATAATTGTTTTAGAGATCCAACTTTATATGAACATATTTTACTTTTAAGTGTGGGACACATGTAATTAAAAATTACATTCTCGTTTTAATTAATTTAATGTTATGAATGTTAGTTTAAGTTGAAGTTTTAATTCATAGAGATCGGAATATTATTAATATTATGAAATAATTATTTATATTTAAGATCTCAATAATTATTTTTAAACTACTTTGTTTTTATTTTATTTTAAATATAACTAAAATTATAGTATATATAAATTGGGTGTCAAAGGTGCAGTTGCGTGATATAGTTTATTTATAATTATTTTAGAGGCTATTGTTGGTAACTTATAAAACATAGTCGTTTATTTTTAAGTGTGCACGTTTTATAAAACGTTACACCATTATTTTAAATAAGCTCAATCGAATAGATAGAGTTGAAGTGAACCACACTTGAATGATTTTAATGCAAAAGAGAAGTAATTAATTTGAGGATAAATAGAAAGAAGAAAATATATTATTAGAAAATGAGAATATCAAATAGTAATTCCAATTAATAATAAAATTTTTATCAATTCATTTATTATAATTTATATCTCGTCTTATATTTTCTTTTTCCACTAAAAAGAATTAAAATTTCCGATAGAGAAAATTCATACTTAATCAAAAAAATTAATCGATAAGTAGATATTTTATTATTTGTTTAGAAATTTCAATTATTATTTAATTAAGAAATTTATTTATTATTATAAGACCTTAGAGTTATAAACTGATACTTCAACTATTAAGTTATTAGGACTATTAAGTTATTAGGATTTTTCGATAATAATTTATAAATAAATTATATTTATATACAAAAAAATATATATCCATATAAATATATAAATATAAAATATATAAATACAAATATATATATATATATATATATGTTGGATATGATAGTGCATGCTTGAAGATGGAAGTGTGTGTCAGTGAGTTTTCAAAATTTTGATGCCAAATTTGTGAACGGGTCTCTTTAGATGAGTTTGTAATTTAATGATAAAATATAATCTTTATAATTTATTTATATAATTATATAAAATAATTTTTTCAATATTAAAAATACTTAAACATTTATTTTTAAATTTATTTTTTTAATTATTTAATTTAACAAATTATTATAAATTAATCTAATTATGATTAAATTAAATTATTAAATAAAAAAGTAATTACTTTTTCAATTAGGTGAATAATTAATTTATTAGAATATATTTAAAAATAAGTAATTATTATATAAATTTAAATATTTAATTTTTTAAATTTAATGTTGATTTTTAAAAATATACTTTAAATCAGTCAAGTAATATTTGTCGGTAACTAATTGTTCATTTACCAAAATTGTTAATTTACTTGACGGATATATCTGTCGATAATTAATTGTTTATTTACCGAGGGATTTCATGCACGGATATATCCATTAATAACACAAAATTTCACTACTATTTTAAATCATCAGGTAATCAATTATTTCAGATAACTATATATCAGTCGATAAATATTCATCGGTAATTAATAATTTTCTTATAGTATTCCTACGAAGAATAAAATTATAATATATTAAAATTTTAAAATAGATAATATATTATACTTCGTGATTAATCTAATGTTATTACAACACATGTGAGATTAAATATTTTTCTTTTAAAATAGAATATTGATATTCATTATAAAACAAAAATAAAGTCTTATTTAAATTTAAAAGTTGAAATCAAATATGTATAAATAATATCTTGAACATCATAATTAATTATCATAAACTAAATTAAGATACTCTTATTTTTTTAAAATTATTTAAAAAAAAAAAACTTCAAGTAAATGTTCAGTACAGTACAACACCATAACAAAAATAAGTTATCACCTATATTTATTTTCAATAAATATTATTCCTATCCGTTTAAATCTCAACTGGACCGATCTAACACAATTTTCCCATTCCGCGACACGGGCCTAACCCGGTTTTTATCAGCCTTATCCACTTAAGTGATGAAATTGTTTGATCAACTTTGAGCTGCTAAAAAAATGAAAAAGAAAAAGTTTGTGAATTTTTGTCTATATCCACTTCATTTAAAATTAATTTATTCGTAAATTAAAACAAATTTCTGCATAAATTATTTTTTAAAAACTCTCGTATATTTTTCCATTTTATAATAATTTAAGTATATTTTTAAATTTATAAAAAATATTTTTTATTTATCTACAATTTTTATATAAGAAACAAATAATTTGGGACATCTTAACCATAATAGCAACCACGAACAAGAATATACCCTAAAAGATATACCATCTTTTACTCCTTGAAATCATGTCGCCACGTATAACCGTTTTCCGAATTAATACTATCCAACGAAAGGAATGACCACCCATAAAACTTCGGATAACCATTTAAGTTTCGTTGCTTCCACTTCATTTTTGGATTATCCCCATTCTTCTCTTACACATCATCTAGATAACTCCAGAATTTTCATTTTCAATCCCTCCTTTAGAAATCAATTTTAAGTAACAAAAAATTGGTTTCAATAAGTTTCAAAACCTTAATACACAATAAATTATTATTTTCAAAATATCCTGTACTTTCTAGAATATGTAGAAAGATCTTGCGTTAAGTTTGAAGTGTTCATGTTTTTTTTACGAAAATTCTTTGATAATTAAGTGAGTATTATAATCAACGTATGAGAGATAATATATGGATCAATAATGAAATAATTTTAAAATACAAATGAAATAAACAATAGAATAATTATAGAGTATAATTAGATTTGAGACAAAAGTAACAATATTTATTGAATACTTAAATTAAGTTATATTTTTTTGTATGAACAATTTATTTATTATTTGCTGAGTCAAAAACCCTAAGAAGAGAGGTCCCAGTGAAGTGAAGAGGGCTATCAATAACCACAAACAATCGTAAGACAGCAAAACAAGCACTCAACAACTGCACACAACACGACGAACCCCAAAAACCGACCACCTATAAAACACTTTAAATTAAAAATGTAACAAAATATAGAGAGAGCAATGACCTGTAGCCACGTGTCATAATTCCACTGGAATGTGATAAGTGAAACCTAACCACCACAAATTTTAATCTCAGACATGACCTGTTCCTAGCGAGTGGGACCTACCTTTGGCGTTTTTGCGCATTTGCTGACTCAACCGTCCCAATCTTTTCTTCCTCCAAAAAGCATGCTTGCCTTTTTCTTACGTGGCACAATTATTCTTCCAACCCAACTCACAATATATTTTTCAATTATTTATTATTATTATTATTATTATTATTTAAAATTAATAAAAGTATATTAATTTCGTTTCTTGCCTAGGAAAATCTACTCATAATTTTATACCTTCGATTATAATTTTATAATTTTAGAGGGTGTTGAAAAGAAAATTTTAAATCAATGCATTGAAAATATACTGTTAATATTTTTCACGGTAATAAATTCATTAAAAATAAAATTTTCAAAAAGAATGTAATGACTTTGTATTAACAATATAACATAATTTTACTGTACATTCTTAATTAATGAAAAATATTTTTTAGATATTAAAATCTATTTAAATAAATTATCTTTTTGAATATGGATTAGGTATTCCATCTAAATAAATACTTTAATAATAAAATTATGTATTATTTATTCCACTTCATATTGATTAAAATTAGAATTACTCTTGGAATTTTTTTTCCTAAGTATTCTTTTGACAAACAACGACTAAATTTTTCTTGTTTTGGAATTTAATTAAAGTTGATTTCTCTCAAATAAATGCTCTTCTGTTCAGACTTAAATATCTATATCTTAATGACACATGTGAAAGACATGGTTGTTTTGAAAAGAAAGACATACACAGTTAATCCCAGCTTTTACAAAACTAAAATTTGTTCTTTTTTTGTTAAATTCGTAATCAATTAATTAGAGACAGATAATATTAATCAGATTTCAATTGAAAAAAACAAAATTAAAATTAACTCCTTTTATTATAAAATCTGATTTAAGCCAAATTATTTATTATTTTAAATCGAGCGCAGCATAACTAGTTCATTACTCTTCTCTCTATAAATCACTTCCTCTTCTCTTTATCTTTTCCTCTTCTCTTCCCCATTTTCACTCTACCCTCATCAAATCTCAATCCTTCCTCTTTTTCAAACACTTTTCCGAAAACGCAATCATGCAAGTTCCGTTGATCGACAGGATCAACGATCTTCAAGTGGGTCTGAACTCTCTGCAAAACCCATCCTTTCCTTCTCAGATCACAACCTCCCTCGCCTCCGTTTCCATAGCATACAATTTCTGTAAATGGGGTGCAGTCATTCTCGCCTTAGTCGCTACCTTCGGTAGCATAATCAACAGAGTCACCATTTTCATCATTCGCTTCCGCACTAAAACCCCTTCTCTCGCCTCAAACCACGACGACGACGACGTTTACTCCTCCACTGATGACGATGACGACGACTACGAAATTGACGACGATTTAACCTACTCCTCCTCCTCCTCCGACCTCGAAGACGAGCCCTCCGCGTCTTCCAGCTTCATCCGTTTGGAAGACTATTTCCGCGTCAGAGGAACCGGTGATAACGATGATAACCTAAACGACGAATTCCACACCCAAAACGGTACGCACAAACGATGTCGTAGCATCGGCGATATATTTTCCCTCTCCGAACTCGCCAACAGCAAGAGCGTCGTGAAGCTCTGGGACAGCATAGGCTTCGGCCTGGGGTTAGATTTCGATGATTACGAGGACGGCGTCGTTTCGACTTACGACCCGGCCAGCTCCACGGCGTCGCCCTCCGTTGTGGTCTCGGCGGGGGAGGGCGCGTGGGGGAATTTGGCTGTGGAGATTTGGGACACGCGCCTGCGGCGGCGGAAGCCGACGGTGGTGGCGGAGTGGGGGCCCACCGTGGGCAAGACTGTGCGCGTGGAATCTGGCGGCGTGCAGAAGGTTTATGTCAAAGGTGACGGACGTGACGGCCTGACGGTCGGGGACATGAGAAAGGTCAGCACGCCGTTAGGCAACGTAACGGAGTCTGACGCGGATACTTGGTGGGATGCGAACGCAATTGTTGTTTCGGAGGAAGAGCAATCAATGTTGCAACAACCAACTTGAATAATTGAAGTCCTTTTCTGTGCTCAAAATATTATAATAATAATTAAAAAAAAAACCATCATTTTTCTTAAGAGAAATTGTTTATTTGTATTATTCCATTCGAAGTCTATAATTGTAAATTAATAAATTAGCTCTTTGGTTATGTGTACATATATATCTTAAGCGTGTGGTGGAAAATATGCGATCTTGTTTCTGAGAAATGATTGATGACCACTTACTTGTAATGAACGTTTCTAAGCTGGGTTTTCAACGATTTAATCCTTATTTAATACGATGATTAATTTAATAATTATAGAAGTGTTGTTAGTATATTTAAATATGTATACAAAACCACCACTTTTTCTTGTCATTAATGATGTTTTAATGTATTGAAAATTTGACAGTAAGAAGCTTCTTAACCAGCTAATTTTTCAACGTATAATGGCGTTCATACTTAAATGCTCATAATCAATGACACGTTTAGTAAAATTAACTCGTAAAAATTGAGCAGCTTAGACCATCAATTAAGAAGAATGATTTAGGAATAAAAATAAATATTTTATTATAGATTTTATATCTCAATATCTTTAATGAAAATGAACTCACTTAAATTAGTCTATTGATTAAAAAAACCTTTTACTTTTAATTAATTATTCCAGTTAAAAGACTTAATTTTGATAGACGTTTAAGGTTGGGAACACATATTTCTTCTTTCTTATAAGTTTGAAAAAACTAAAAGATGCGGTTACTTTAAAACTTGGAGGTTACAATCATATAATTTGAGGCTTTTATGTTCACGTATGGTAGGTGGAAAAACCATTCCAAGGCCAAAAGTTTACAATAATTTTTGGTTGGTGTGCCTAATTTTGTAAACTATGTATATAATTTATGTGATTAAAATCAATTATTGATTATCCCTTATTAAATGATGAAATATTTGGCTTCAAGTGTAAGACTGAAAGTTACGCATCACTGAACTTTGTATTATAAAATTAAAGATCATCATCTTAACTACCAACAAAATAAAATAATAAAATGTATCATCATCAAATGCTCCAATACTATTTGAACTAAATAAAAAAACATATTAATTATAAATACTATAATTAAATGATGTGACAATTGAGTATAAATGTCCACATATTTAATGAACTAATTCTAAATATTTCTGTCATTTCGTTATTATTTAGTAATTTAAGAAAATGTTACATATTATTTTATATTTTAAGATATTACATTTTTTATTCTTCTGAAACTTTAATAAAATAAGATTAGTTAATAGTATTTTTATGATGACAAAAATATAAACACACTTATTTTATCTTTTACAATTCACATATCGTAATTTAAAATTAAAAATAAAAAAATAAAACGCCAATTTACGTGGACATAGCAGGGACATTGATCTTACAAAACACAATTTGAGGAAACAAGATTCATCTCATGTACATGTCGAAACAACGCATCAAAAATTAACTAAATGATTCCATTAATATTCAGGCAATTCATTCATGAATTGCATTCCTGAAGGTGATAACAAAGTACCCAAAAACCCAAATGGCGAACCTGGATATGTATACACGGAATTTGGCGTGAAAATAGGCAAATCAGCGAAATCCATGTTAGAATGAACAAAAGTCTCTTTCTTTACACAACTTTCATCATCCCTAAGATCTTCCCCTTGTTCTTCGTCACTCTCTTGTTGCTTGTTGGACCCATCACAGTTAAGAGACCCATAATTCTGATAGGACGGGCCATCATCCAAGAGATGTTCGTTGGAGTTTGACATGCCGGTTAGTCTTTGAACCAGAGCCATGAAATCTCGAGGCTTCGTGTGAATTATCTTCGGTGATTTGGTGTGGATGATGATGGGGTTGTTGCTCTGGGGTTTGGTCAATGCAACATGAGATGAGGAAGAAGGCTTGCGAATCAAATGCGAATATTTGTTGATGGTCAATGAAGAAGGGCGTGGACCATTAATGGCTTCGAACTTTGTGGTTGCAGTTCTCATATCAGGACTGAGAAGTTCACCACTAATGTCAAAAAACTGAAGCTGCTGCGGGGGAGAAAGAGATTAAGAATATATATATTGCCAAAAGTCCTAGCCAACGTTTCTGACCGTTGACTTTGCTTTTTATATGTTCAAATATAGACATCGTGGAGTCAAATGTGAGGGTAAAAAAAACATAAGAATAGTCAGAAGTGGGGAGTAGTTTCCCAGAAAAACCAGAAAAAAAAAAAAAAAGAAGAACAAAAAAAGAAGCATAGTGAAGTGAAGTTGTCTCCAAGCCTAACACAAGATTCAAAGTTAACAGGGTTACAGCTTCTACTTCTACACATTATTCATGCTTTTCATTCAAATGTATACATATATAGTGAGACGGTACCCATATATAAAAACATAGTAATGAAAAAACCTAATGTCACACCAGCACCGTTAAACACGAGATATATGAACGCTTTATACAAGACCTCCTAAGTGTTGTGCGATTCTTCCACCATGTTATCCTAATTGCTGTAAATTTGGAATTTTACATAGCTCTTATTACATGATTCCCAGGAATTATCAGACTCTTCCTTCACATATTTTGGTACTGTACAATTCTGGGTGAATATTTGGCGTGACAGTTGTATTTTCTGAACTCATCTATACCTATAAATAGATGTTTTTATCCTTTTCAAAATTATTAAACATATATTTCTCTCACTTTCAACTTTTTTTTTTCTCTTTTTTTCTTCTCTTATATTCTTGGTTATTACTCTTAAAGAATTTATTTGCTAGTTCTGAGTTTCTTAAAAAGTTTGAGAAGTTACTATTTTATCTTAGGAAACTTGCACAATATACTGCAAATAAGTCCTTAAAGACAATAATTATACACATCTTATGAATTAAATTATTCATATTTTTGTGAGTCATGATAACAATCTTAAGGACTTATGATTGATAGTAAGGACACCAATAACAATTTTACACCGAAAAAGAACGTTTATGAAACTCAAACTGTCTTTGTGAAATCATTTTCAGATGTTTCAAAAATCAAAGTTTTCTCTAGTAGAAACTTCTTATGCTAATAGGAATGCATTCTACTATGTTAGACATGTATGAAGTGGATTCCGCTCTTACAAATAACAAACTTGACTCCGGTACTCCTACTAAACATATTAAATATTGGATCCGTTTGAATAAGGTATGTTGACACACTTTACTTAGTGTATTATCTAATTATTTGTTCAATATGTATTATTTCTATAAGGAAGCCAAGGATATCTAGGATTCATTTTTTTCTCAAATATATTGTCGAAAATATCGTGAGACAAAGGTTCGTTATCGGAAACTACTACCGTTGGGAGATGTTAGAGGATAAGGACATCAAGATCCAGATCAACGAGTATCAGAAGCTACTTGAAGATATTAAAGCAAAAAACATGGTCATACCTGATGCGTTCGTTTCAGAACTTCTAATCGAAAAGCTTCCGAAAATCTAGATAGACTACAAACAACAACTAAAACACAGACATAAACAAATGTCATTGTCATATCTTATTACGCATATCATCATTAAAGACACAAACCAAAAGGAGTGTGCTGCTACAAGGACTACGACATTGTCAGCTAAGGTAAATATGGTAGAAGTAAAACCAACTCCAAAAAGGTACGAGAAAAAACCTGATCATAAGAAGAAAAATAATTTTAAAATTCTTATCCCAATGGATCTAACCTCACCTTCAAGAAAAATGAAAATTGTTTTGTCTGTGGAAAGTTAGGTCATCATGCACCTCAGTGCAAACATAGAATACGACAATCCTCCTAAAGCACCTTTAACCAAAGGAGAATATATAATTGTTGCGGTCGTTTCCAAATAAATCTTGTGACAAATGTGAGCAAATGAATGGTAGACTTTGGTGTTACCAAACACATCTGTACAAACAGAAGTACTTATACCTCTTACATTAGTATGGAGAGGGAGAAGAACATGTTTATCTATTCTAGGAAAACTCTTGTCCTAGGAAAAACAAAAGTTCTTCATAAGCTCACATCTGAGAAGACTCTAATCTTGAGTGATGTGTTACATGTGACATCAATAAGAATTAATCTAATCTCTATAGCACTACTGCGAAAAGTTATGGTTAAAATGTCATTCAAATTTGATAATATTGTTATGACAAAAAATAATATATGTTGGTAAACAAAAGATATTGTCATTAAGGTTTTTTTGTAGTCAACATTTTTAAATTTGTTAATAAATATGGTTTTTGTGTTTATATTGTTGATTCATATAATATGTGACATGCTATGCTAAAATATGTGAATTCCTCCTATGTTATGAAATTGCAAAAATTATGATTAATTAATATGCATGATAAACAAAGTAAGAAATATGAGATATGTTTAGAATCTAAAATAACCAAGAAAAATTGTCAATTTAGAATGTCAAATTAAACTTTTATGATTAATCCATACTGATTTAGCTAGTCTAAAACAAGTCATGTTTAGAAGTAGTCAAAATTTTGTAACATTTATAAATTACTTCTCTAGATATAGCAAAATATACTTAATAAGGATTAAGCATTTATAAGAAAATTTGTTCAACAACTCTTCAACCCCATTCATTGTGTGGGATCGAATTAGGGTCTTAGTAGGTAAGATTAAATGCAACTGGAAGGGTTCGCCTATCCGATTTGTGAAAATCATTCTCTTGAGTTAATGCACAAGGATTTCTTACGGATGATCAGTTTCTTATATAGGAGGAAGCGCATTTGGTTCATTAAAGATTTTAGGATATCTTTCCAATAACTCTTCAATCTCAGTCATTGTTTGGGATCAAATTAAGGTCTCAATAGGTTAGATTAAATGCAACTAGAAGGGTTCGCCTATCCCATTTCTTGAGTTGATGCACAGTGACTTCTTGCAGTGTCGTACATTGCTCATCTCTGAGTTTAACCATTTTCCCCTTTTTAATGAATTTCATTGTCCATTTTTTATATTCGGTTAGAATTGGACCTAAAGTAGTAAGTCATTAGACTCTAAAAACCAATTTTTGTACCACTCAAAGGTAACAATAAACTAGAAACGTATGAAAGTCAAATTTTAGTGGTACCTGCATGCACATTTTTTAGCAAAGCAGCTCCTCCTCGTTTCTAACCAAAATGCGAAATCCCAAAATTGGGGTAGCTCAGAGACCCAAGTGTTTTGCTATATGATATTGGATGAAATTGTGGGTGCTTTCATTATCCACTAGAATTGCATTTGGAACTGTTAATATGATCAAATACCTTGAGGTCTGAGGTATTAAATGACCCAATAACGTATGTAAGCTAATTTGGGTTGAATAGGTGTCAGGTGAATCGAGTGGGCCGTTCTGACTTGAAGCATCTAATTGTAAGTAATGGGTCAAGTCTTTCACTAGTTGTCTAGGTCATTTAGTTTGGTGATTAGGATCATAAACTATCTTTTGCACTTATGACCAGGACAATACCTCTCGTCATAATAGTAATGCAAGTTCTTGTCACGACAACTCTATAAGTCAACTGGGGTTAAAAGTTTGATGAGCGGTTGGTTAATATTTGGGTTTTTTGAAACAAAAGAGGAAAGGGTTTGAGAATGAAGTGGTTTTGGTGGTTGGGAACACTAGTTGATTTGAACGAATGGTAGTCGAAGCATCCGCAATTTTTTCCTCTTGAAACTGCGTAAAGCTTATGGCTTGGGACAAAGATATCGGTTGAAATACTTTTACCTCTCATTGAATCTCAAGTTTGAGGCCTGAGATAAAACAACTGAGAAAGAAGGACGAAGATAATTAACAATGCGATTCGTGAAAGTCTCAAACTAGATTTGGTACTCACGACAGTAGATGTTTGGTACAATTTGCACAAAGTTCCTTTTGGGTCCTCATAGTGTGATGATGCGAAGCACACCTCCAATGCTCGAAAAAATGTCTCCCAGTTGGTCTTCATGATATTGGCACATAGCCCTTGAAATCAAGTTAGGGTTTCGCCTTCCAAGACGAAGGAAACCATACAAAACCTTTGTTCTTTTGGTGTCTCATGATATTGCTTAAATTTGAAGATCCATGATATCGACTCTGAAACAAATCAAACTTCATGGAAATAGGGTGAATGACTAATTGGTGAGATTATGTCTTGGGTTTTCAAACCTAATACTAATTCAAGCATTCACTTGAGCTTCCAATTTCACTACAAGAAAAATTGTGATTACCTACAGCACAAATCCGTATGTAAGCAAGAAAATCCGTAGATAAATTTAGATTACCTACAGATTACCTAGTAGGTAATATCTGCAGGTAATTACCTACGGATGTATTCGTATGTAATATTCGCAGGTAATTACCTACGAATGTATTCGTATGTAATTACCTACGGATATTACCTACGGATATATCCGTAGGTAATTGAAATATCTACTACTCTCCATTCTTTTTGCATTATTCTGATTACATTGACCTGGACATTAAATGATATATAAAATTATCTAAATACACAAGTTCATAACCAGAAAAAATAAAATGATATATATAAAATAACATAACAATTTATTGTTCCAATACAAAATAAAAACGTCAAATATATCCAAATATAATGAAACATATCCAATAGAATTTCGTAAAATGCTAATAATCCATATAATCATCATCTGCATCCTTCTGTTGATCTTGATTTTGTTGTTCGGTATTTGGTTCTGCAACCTTCTCTTGATCTCCATTGTCTTGATTAATTGGTTGTTGCAAAATGTTTTGTGCTGCCGCTACTGCTGGAGGTGGTAAGTATTGAAGGACTGCGCCAATGAATGCCTGGATGGACTCAAACTGGGAGCTCATCATACGAATCTTTTCCTCACTACTTTCCAATCGCTGCTCACTACTTTCCAGTCGTTGTGTCAGTTGACTAATTTTCTGTGAATCAGCTTTTTGACTGGAGTACGCTTCTGTCTGTTGTAGATAACTTTCAACACAATCATCACTAGAGTCAACATGACCAACTCCATACACGCGTCCCTTATACCTTCCTCCTACAGCCTCTAACCAACATCTATTCCTTAGCCTTTCCTCTTCAATAGGGTCTAGGGGAGTGCATTGTGAAACACCCACATTAGAAGTTGACTCAGACAATACTCGAGAATATATACTCTCAAAGTCTTCTTGTTCAAATAAGACAATTTGTACATGTGTCTTTTAAATAATAAAAAACTTTAAGATTTAATGAAAGAAACTCACATGTGTCTGCCTAGACCTATCATCGACGAATTCGTCAATACTCTTTCTTATATGCGTTTGTTGAAAAACTTCATCCACATGGACTGAGCGACCGAGCTCCTCTGTCTAAATAAAAAAACATAAAATATGTCTTTACCAAATAATTATTACATCATAAATGAATGATAAAAAATATTTAAAAATTCATACCAAACGAATGACGTGTTCGTGCACACTAATTGATCCACCAGTGTGCAAACTTCCCCCTTTATCAGATGCCCGATTTGTCTTTGATGTATCACATTTTGATCGATATAGAGGCATGTTCCACTGTTCCAAGAGGTTATTCCATATATTATTTCCAATCCAATCAGGCTTCTTGCCTTCTCTTCTAGCCTCTTTAAACATCTCTGAAAGTCTATGTGAAGCCTTGGAGTGGAAATTTTTCGTAATTCTTTCCTCATCCTTAGATCTCCATGTCACCTTCCTCTGTAAAACATAGTGACCATTTCCAACCTGGTTATTTTGATTCAGATTTTTGAAATAGAAAACAAAAGGAAAATGAGAATGTAAAACATTTTTTCATATCAAACAGGCCCTTTGAACTTATCCTAAAATCTGGGCAAAGATGCATTTGTCATGGCAAAAGCTTTTTTCATATCAAACATTAATCAGTAAAGTGTCATTTACAACATCATCAAAGGTTGCTGAAATCAGCAAAAAAATCGGTTGCAACAGTGACAATCCAGCATATAATGAATGATCACAAAAATATTGAAAAGGTACAAATATAGTAGAATATAATAGACTTACAATCTACCATATAAAAGGAAAAACAGAACTTTACCCTGGTGATAGAAGATAGTTCACTTTCAAAAAAGGAAAAACAGAACTTCAACAGGAAAAACATTTCACTTTCAAACATTATGCACCTAAACCCTATCACTTTCAAACATTTGTGCACAATCCCCTATATGAAACATTAAAAGTTCCGAACAAATAAAACCAACAAGATTATTATTATTAGGACAAAGTTTGTTTGCAAAACATTAAATCATAGTATAAAATACCACAAATAACGCTAGATAGAAATGACAATGGTCCTATAACATTTCCATTTGACCAAGGTCAATAGTCAACGAAAATAAAAGTTTGAGAATGTTAAATATGTTGAATGTTAAATAATACCAGCACAAGATGAAGGTGGCACTAGTTTATTGGTCTCCAATTCAGAACTCTCTCAACTTTTTACGTTTAAGGAAAAAACTCATAAAATCTGCAGAAAAAAAAGAGGAAATAAGAAAAGAAAAAAGAGACAGAAAGGAACCCAAAAGACCAATATTCAAATCAATATATGACTGGTCAAAGAACCATGGAATGTTAGAACTAAATGTTCAACAAAGTAGACAATTTTAGATCTAAAGAGTGTTTATTACACACTTTACCTCCTACTCCAATTTTTTTTTTTTTTTTTTTTTTGCATTGTAACACAAATAGGATACTAAAGAAATTCCCTAAACTAGTTGCTAGAAGAAAACTGAATGTATAAGGAGGCCACAAGAAATAGAGAAAAAAGGAGAATTATAAACACCTTGCTATAACCAACACAATTGATATAAATACATTTTTAGCACCTCAGTTTAAATTTAGATCCCCATGGTCTAAAAGTTTAGTTTTTAGTCCTTGATTGAAGTAATTATTGGAATGAAAAATGTATTTAAACCTATTCATTGATTTAAGAGATTTTATAGGTTGTCATACTCATGAAATTGATGGCATCCTAACTTATTTGGTCAAGAAAGAAAAGAAACAAACAGGAAAAAGTAAAATGAAGGAAACATATCTCCTTAGTGTTCATATCACATCACATTACATCCCATACCATAAAAATTATCAACATTTCTTTTGAACATGACAGAAACAGTTTTCCTATGATCTAGTATATTGATGGTAAAATCTTAAGGAGTATTAAGATAAAAAGTATATTTTCAAAGTCATGGTCTTGAGAGGTGACTACGAGTGATACCTAGGTCGCTAGGTCTGAGAAATATAACAAGGTTCACATAAGGAATCAAGAATCTGATACATTTTGTTAAGGTTCCAACATAAAACCAATTGGCAATATGTGGAGTAGTCTAACATGTATTTAAACCATACCAAATGACATGAGGTAGGCGATGTGGGACTTTCAACACACCCCGTCCAACGAAGCCTGCCGGACCAGGCAAAGGGTACTTTTGACCCAACTAAAGGACAACTTTTGGCCCATGACAATAACCGGAAAGATGTTAGGCTTTGACTCTGATACCATGTTAAGGTTCCAACATAAAACCAATTGGCAATATGTTGAGTAGCCTAACATGTATTTAAACCATACCAAATGACATGAGGTAGGCGATGTGAGACTTTCAACACAATTTGGCAAAACCTAGAATACTACAAAATAAATTTAGAATTCAACTTAACAGCAACTTTAAATCAAAAACGCATTGCCTTGCTCCTTGACTGGAGCAACTATTGGGATGAAAAATGTATTTAAACCTATTCATTGATTTAAGAGATTTTATAGGTTGTCATACTCATGAAATTGATGGCATCCTAACTTATTTGGTGAAGAAAGAAAAGAAACAAACAGGAAAAAGGAAAATGAAGGAAACATACCTCCTTAGTGTTCATATCACATCAGATCCCATACCATAAAAATTATCAACATTTCTTCTGAACATGACAGAAACAGTTTTCCTATGATCTAGTAAATTTATGGTAAAATCTTAAGGAGTATTAAGATAAAAAGGATATTTTCAAAGCCATGGTCTTCAGAGGTGACTACGAGTGATACCTAGGTCGCTAGGTCTGAGAAATATAACAAGGTTCACATAGGGAATCAAGAAGCTGATACATTTTGGCAGAACCTAGAATACTACCAAATAAATTTAGAATTCAACTTAACAGCAACTTTAAAGCAAAAACGCATTGTCTTGCTCCTTGACTGAAGCAACTATTGGGATGAAAATGTATTTAAACCTAATCATTGATTTAAAAGATTTTATAGGTTTCCATACTCATGAAATTGATGGCATCCTAACTTATTTGGTGAAGAAAGAAAAGAAACAAACAGGAAAAAGTAAAATGAGGGAAACATACCTCCTTATTGTTCATATCACATCACATCCCATACCATAAAAACTATCAACATTTATTCTGAACATGACAGAAACAGTTTTCCTATGATCTAGTAGATTGATGGTAAAATCTTAAGGAGTATTAAGATAAAAAGTATATTTTCAAAGTCATGGTCTTGAGAGGTGACTACGAGTGATACCTAGGTCGCTAGGTCTGAGAAATATAACAAGGTTCACATAGGGAATCAAGAAACTGATACATTTTGACAAAACCCATAATACTACCAAATAAATTTAGAATTCAACTTAACAACAACTTTAAAGCAAAAAACACATTGCCTTGCTCCTCACGGCAGAGTAACCTTGAAAGGAATTGAGAAAAGTCTTCTACTCCATTGAAATAATTACACATTAAACATCATACCAGACAGGGTTACAATATAAAGATTTTATATAAGTCAAATAACTTTAATAAGAATCAAAGTATATTGCAGAGAAGGTAAAAGCAGGGATGAATCAAAGTTTTATTTGACTGTAACATCCAAATAATCACATTTAAGAAATAAAATTGAATATCCCAACCAGCTGAGCCATAATCAACTACAACAACATATGAAAAACAACATTTAAAATTGTCATTGATCCAATGTCAGAAAGCATCCAACCACACAAGCAATAATGCATGACAGTGTAAGCCTCAAACCCGATAATCCACAGATCCCGTAAAAACTCAATTTATATCCAAGAACCGATCATAAATCAAGAAAACCAAATGAAACATTTCAGACAACTCAAATCAAGAACAATAAACAAAAAATCAAAAAGAGAAAGGAAAACTTAGGTCTGCGACCCTTGCTTCTAACCACCTATCTCCAAGTTGACTTGCAATGGCAAGGGGGGGCGTGAGTCACAGTTAGGGCTCCGCGGTTGGGTTGGGGTGATAACGTCTAGGGCTTTGCTGGGATGCAGAGGCCGCAGAGGAGGTGAGGGAAAAGGTGTTAGTGCGAGCTAGGGCTGTGGAGTTCAAGTGAAGGGTTGAGGAATATTGAAAATGGAGCTCAGTCAGGGGTGCTCGGGAAAGAGGGGTGCGGGTGGCTGAGTTGTTGAGAGGAGCCGAGAAAAGAGTGAGGCAGAGGGAAGAGGGAAGAGGGAATGAGGGAAAAGGGAAAAGGGAAAGTGAAGGTGTAGGGAGAGTGGGGCTGCTCCGCGGGGAAGAAGCTGCAAGGAAGAAGAGGGCAGAGGGAGCTAGGGCTGGAAAGTGGAGGTCTGGCTGAAATTTTTTTTTTCCTTATGTTTTTACTACTAATTACTTACTAATTTTATTTTTTAATATTTTCTAATAAAATCCGTATGTAAAATCCGTATGTAAAGTATGACTTCATTACATACGGATTTTATTATCATTACCTACGGATTTCATCCTTCGAACATTTCCGCCTGAACGCGCCAACATTACATACGGATAATATCTACGGACTATTGTAACGTATAATTTTATATACGGATATGGATCCGTAGGTAAATATCAGCAGGTATTTAGTAATTTTCTTGTAGTGTTTGGTCATTCTAATGTTCATCTCCTCTTGAAATGATTTATGCTTCTTGAGTAACAGGAGAATGGTATCTATTTTATTAACGTTTTTTTTATATAAAATCATGATATAGGTTTCTCAATAAAAGCACCAAATTATAACACCTATTTTCCAAGTTAGACTTCCTCCATTAAAAGAAAAAAAAAACAAAAAAACCTTACTGATAGTTCTTTTATTTTCATTCATTACCGAAAACATATATACAATGAGATGGTGCACACAAAAGAAATAACACGTTATAAAGATAATAATATATCAAAATCCTAAATATCAGATAAATATTCAGCCCTCGGTGCCAACAATAAGCCATGTTACCTACTTCAATTTAACATAACAATCATAATCCCAAAATATTTGGCTCTAACTCAATTGTGTTTGGACTTATCTCTCGATGTTAGACCAGTAATGAAGTCACTCTCATAATTTTCTGTATTAGGTCCTCAACTTTATTATCGCGGATCATTCTATGATGATTGCACTTTTTTTTTAGGTGCATCATAAAAGATCTGAAAAATCCTATGCGTGTCTTATTATTACAATCTTGGAAGTGTCTCTGATAAGGTTGTTAATTGTGCTAAACCTAACTTTTATGTTAATAGAAACAGGAATAACAGAATTGTACAAATAAAAAATATCCTTGTCTATTTTGCCTTTTACTTGGTGTACCTTTATTCAAAGGTAAAACAAAAGAGATATTTTCTTATGTTTATTGTTGACAGGATTAAGGGATCTGGTTAAAACAGTGGTACAATGTATGCTATTTTTCAGTTTTCAGACTTATAGATGGCCAAAAATGCTGCTCAAAACAAATGAAGGGTGGTTTCCAAATTCTGTATTAACTGATGACATTAATTTGGCAAAGAAAACTACAGTAGCTTGGAATAAAGCGTGTGTGGAACAATTTAAGAAGTAGGTCTTGGATTGAGATTTATATATAACCAATCGATCGATTTTATTTTTTAACTATATGTATTATTATTTCAACTATAGCTTAGACTTTTTATTTTTAATTATTTTTTCATTTTTTTATTTTTTTAAATACTTGATTGCTCTTTGATTATTATTTTTATTCATTTATGTATTTTCTATACCCTCCTATCACTCAGAAGGTTTATTTCTTTTTTCTCTAAATTTCAACATTATTTCTATTTCCATTCCTTATCATCTTTGGAAATCATCTGCAACGTGCATGCATTTTTAAATACACTTGAACTTTAAAATTGCATTATAAGAGTCAAAATTTATTTAAAAATATTTTTTATTTTTTATGTCATGATTTAAAAACTGAATTAGTAATTAATTGTTACAAAAATAGAATATTTATATAGGTTTTAAAAATTCAACTTTACTATTAATTTTTTTATGTAAAAGATACTTAAATCATTTGGAGTTATTTAGATCAAAACTTAAATTTAATTAAGGGAATTTAAAAGGTTATGTTAAATGAAAAATTATAGTATATAATTGATGCTTAGTGTATAATTGATCAATGGTTCTATGATATTATTGACTAATTTAAGAAGATAACATGGTGAGTTTTTCTGGTCTTATAATTCCACATAGCATGTGATCAATATGACTCAGATTATTGATACAAGAACCATATCTCATTCACTCTATTGAACAATTCAAAAGGGGAATTGTATTGTGCTACAAAGAAACTTTTGTGAGTAGCAGCAGACCATTTGGTGGCAGCAATACTAGCATTCAAGGCTGCAACTTCCTTCCAAACATTAGTGTCTGTCACAAATCCACCAAATTGTCTCACTGCTACATATGAAGGTTTCCATCTTTGAACATGGAGACCATTTGCCAAAGGAGGGTCTTTTTGGTTGTCTTTTGGCACATAGAAGCTCACAACAATTGAGGAATTTCCTCCACTATTTGAGACTTCACTGATAACTGGTGCTGTCATCTTAATCACCTTCTTACCAGTGTTGTTACCATGAATATAACTGAATAGCCTGATAAATTTGAAATAATGTTATTCAAGTAATTCAAATAATGTGGTAAGCACTTCAGTAAAACTTCTACCTTGTTTAGAAGAATTTTAGCACTTGTAAGAAATTGAAATACATAACATTTAAAATACATCCATTTCATATTTCTTTTCTTCAAATTCGTTATTTGTATAAAGTATTCATAATGTCTTGTATTTCAAGTTTTTCTTTGGACAGAATATCTTAATTTTCAATAAATGCAAAATTTAATATTAATATATCTATTTTTAAAATAATATTTTAAACAAAATAAACATTAATTGATTTTTAAATATTTAATATCTTAAAAATAATAAAAACTCAAATAATTATAAATTATTAATATTCAAAATACATATATAAATTAAAATAAAATATGTTATCATAAATTAAAATTTTAATAATATTTATCTATATTTTATAAAAAAATGTTTATATTTAAAATAGAAAAACAATAGCAAATATTTTACATCCATGTTTTAAAAATATTCTAAAATGTTGTATGATTGAATTATTTAGGTTGGTTTATAACTAGTTTTTAGGGATGCATGATTTTACATGCTGGTGAGTTGAAAATTTTAGTTCACATGCTCTAGTTCGTAAATTTGATGAAACGAAATAGATTAATGGGTTGATAGGTTTTTAAAATATTTATATATCAAAATTAAATTAATTATAATTAAAAATATTATATTTTTTATGTTGAGTTATTAAAATAGTTAAATATATTATAAATTATAATTTAAATCATAAATATTAATTAATTAAATTTAAATTATTTATTATAATTAAATATTTTAACTTATAAATATAATAAATTTTTAAACTTTTTTAATAAAAATATTAATGAATAAATAAAAATTTTAAAAAAATTATATAATTAAAAATATATTTAAAAAAATATGTATAAAACAATATTGGGGGAGTGATATCCTAACCTACCAACGGATCTTTGGTAAAACGAACTAAAAACTATAATCATATTGATTATAGGAGTTTAATCGCTCTTATCTTATTTTTTACGTATTTCAAAATGAAAAAGACAGATTTGGTTTCTCACTCTTCTAATTTTATTTTATTTTTATATTAATTTAATATTTTTTAGAGTGTCTTAATTCATATATTCCGATTTAAAACCTTATATAAAAACTGAAACTATATAACAATACGAAGGGAACCTAAATGTGACAATAATTACAATTATAAATGAAAAATTAAGTTGATAAAGAAAAAAATTACCTTAGAACTCCAACTCTTGTAGCTTTAACCAAAGAAATGTTTGAAACGGGGGAGTTAGAAATGAAGACAGGTGAATTGTAGCGACGAATTTCATAATCGTTGCCCTCTTTCGTAACATCGTAGGAGGGACACTCGAATTTCTTGCATGATGGGGGAATTTTCCCTTCAACACCCCAAAATGATACCAAGAGAAGAAACGAGACACTCAGGAATTGGATTGTGGTGGAAGCACTCATACTCAACTATCACAATTATTCAGAGACCAACAAATTTTATTCAATATCGAAACTACCAAAATCCACAGTTATATATACATGTTTAGGCTCCCAAAAATTACATGAGACACGCTTTTGCAAAGAGACACGTTTATTTTACAAGATTTCACAGACACTTCAAAAGTCAACATATTTAAATGAATTAAATGTGAAAATTATTTTCAATTCTTTTAAAATATATGTACATTTAATAAAAAATAAGTCAAGATATTTAAAAGAATTAATGGAAAGAGATTCTCTAGCATTAAAAGTTATTTTTTAGACCACACAATTTTTTTATTTAGAAAACACTTTTTAGGAAGTCATTATTTACTATTCTTAATTATGATATATCTCCCTTCTAAAATAAATGCAATTTTAATCATATAAAAAAAATTAAAAGATGACTGTTTTTTTCTTACTTGGAATTGACCATATTATATTTTTCCTTATATAGTCAATTAGTTTAAAGAGGATAAGAAATGAATGGTAGAAATATGAAAGAAAAGGGTTGAAAATTTAAAAAGAGGGAACCTTTTTGAATGATAAGATTTGCTTAGAAGAATACATAAAAGAACAAATGAAGAAAAAAATGACTACACCGAACATTTGAAAGAGGTAAAAAACATAGTAATTTGTTTTTAAATAAATCTCTATACATATGGTCAACATTTTTTTTATACAATGATCCCAATTTATTTAAGTATATTTTACGTAAAAAATTTGATTTTTTTAGAAACCTAAATAAAAATTCTATTTTTGCAACAACTACAAATTAAATTTTTAAATAATGGTTTAAAAAATAAAAATAAAATTAAATAGACATAATATTTTTTTACTTCTATAATACAATTTTAAATTTCAAGTGTATTTAAAAATGCATGCACTTTGAAGATGATTTCCAAAGAGGATTAGGAATGGAAGTAGAAATAATGTATGATAGAAATTTTGAGAAAAAAAAATCAAACCTTTGGAATGATAAGAGAAAGAAAATATAGAAAAAAAAACATAAAAAATGAATAGAAAATAAAAATAAAAATCAAAGAACAAATCAAATATTTTAAAGATAATAAGTCTCAGTTAACATCTGATTAATTTCTATTAATCTAAAAACAATTGAGCTCTCTCTTGATTGTCTTTTAAAGTTTTATATTTTGTTTCAAATCAATATTAATTGCATTAATCCATGGCATGTTGATAGCAAAAGTTTCTCATCGTGTTCTTATCGTTTTCAATACTGAAAGAGGATGCAATAGAATTTCACATTTAATCGCTAAATGTTACAACGAGAGTATTTTTTTTTTTAAATATAGACTTAATTAGTCTTAAAACACTACATTAACTTTTGAAAAATTAGTGAAGAAAATTAATTCTAAAAAAAGTTCAATAGTAATATGAAAAGGTTATAATTCTGTCTTAATGTTGAAAACTTACATTTTTAATAGGTTTTGCAAAACCGACCCTTTTTGTATAAGAAACAATTAAGACTATTAAATCAATTATACAAGTTGAGTGTCAAAAACTATATATATATATATGTGTGTGTGTTTGTGTGTGTGTGTGTGTGTTATAGATGTGTGTAGTCTTATATCATTTTGATCTATATAGCAGAAGCAAGTTGGGCATGGGTTGTACCTCCACCTTCCAATTCTCAATTCTCTTTTCCCTCCTCTTGGTTTCATTTTTGGGTGTTGAAGGGAAACTTCCCCAATCATGCAAGACTTATGAGTGTCCAACCTATGATGTCATAGAAGAGGGCCAGGGTTATGAAATTCGTCGCTATAATTCACCTCATTGGGTTTCTACCTCCCCAATTGAGGACAAATCTTTGGTTGCAGCTACAAGAATAGGCTTCAGCAGGTAATTTCCTTTCTTTCTTTCTTTTTTTAATCAAATTTTTGGATCATCATTTTGATGTCATGCGAGTAACCAATTGGTATTGTACATGGAAATTGTCAGGCTATTTAGTTATTTCCAAGGGAAGAACAATAGGAAGCAGAAGATAAAGATAACAGCACCTGTGACGAGTGAAGTGTCAGTGAGTGGAGGAAAGTCCTCAGTTGTTGTGAGCTTGTATTTGCCTAGAGAGATCCAAAGAGACCCACCTGCAGCAAATGGTGTGTATGTTGGAAGATTCAAAACTTCATCTGTGGCAGTGAGACAATTTGGTGGATTTGTGACAGCTTCTACTGTTAGCCAGCAAGTTGCTGCCTTGAATGCCAGTCTTGCAGGCACCAAATGGTCTGCTACTCCTCCAAAATCTTACATTGTTGCACAATACGATCCTCCTTTCAGATTGTTGGATAGAGTGAACGAGATATGGTTCTTGTATCAATAATGATGCTCACTATTTAGTGGCATAACCTCTATAATAGAAACTTTCACCCTCTTATCTTTTTGAATTAGCAAATAATATCATACATCATTCTTACATACAACTATAATTTTTACGAATATGTGACATGAAATATAATACTATATATGATAGAATCTCTCCTTATTAAAAATATAATTATCGTAGAGGAAGGATTGTCATATTACGCAGATCTCCATCTTATTAAACTAATTTTATATATAGGGTTAAATAACATACTTCACCATTTCTAATATCATATTTGTGTGGTTCAAAATTCTATTATTATGATATATATGGTTTTGATTCATACTCATTAATTACCATTTATAATTTCGGTTTTAATCCATTAATTAATTAGTGTACCCATTTCTCTGTTGTTTGGTTGAATCACATGTTGATCTCGTACCACTTGCTCTTTCGTCAAATCTTGAACCGCAAGGTGATTTACGTTTTTGTGATGAGATTAAGGAACGTATGATAAAGAATGAAAATAAAAAATAAAAATAAAGAAAATATAATAAAAAATCATATTTTATATAATTTGATTTAAAATTAAATAAAAATGTCATTTTTATTAGAATTATTTATTAAAATAATAATGTTTTAAAATCTCTCGTAATTTACATAGGTGTTTTGTAATTTAAAAATTGGCTGGGTAATGGTACAATCGATTATACCCGTTTCACGGTATTTTTTTTTCTTTTAATTTCTTCACATTTTCCTTTATCAAATTGTCCATTTTTTTTTTTTATTTCCTTCAATCCACTCGTTCTCTTTTACCAAACTGACCAAAGACCAATTTGAAAGCTAAGATATAGGATTAGGGAAGGCAATTAAACCCCGTACTCTTCGGGATCGACCCGTCCCCGCCCGAGTTTGACTGGAAAACCCGAGTTGACCGGGTCGGGGCAGGTCGAAGATGGATAATGCAATCCCCACCCCGACCCCATCCCCGTCCCCGCTCCGACTTTATATTTAAATTTAAATTTTAAAATATTAATATTTTAAAAGTATTTTATTTTCTTTTTTTATTACATATAATGTTATTTTTTTATATTTCACCAATTTTTATTTTTCTTCTACCCACTTTTTAATTTTTTTTATCTTTTTCAATCTTTTATATCAATTAATTTATTATATTATTCTCTCCCTTATCTTTCAGTTTTTCACATTTTCTTAGTCTCTCCCATCAATTTGTTTTTTTTTCAATCTTTTGAACCAATTTGATGAACACAAAGTTAATCTTTTTTCTTTATCTTTTTCTAAATATTTTACATCAATCTTAGTAGTAACTAATATTAGTTTATTTATAATTTATATTTATTATGTCATATTTTTTTATCTTATTATGCTTATTTATCATATATCAAATTTTATCTTAATAAAATAATTGCATTTTAAATGATTAAAAGAAATTAATAATTTAAACTTTTATTACTTCAAACTAATTAAATAAGAATTAACTTATTAAATATTTTTTTATAAACTATATATTGACAACTTAAAAATGAATTAACTTATATGTATAATTAAATATTTGAATATAGTATTATAATAATAATGTTATAAATATTCAAATATTTGAATATAGTGTTATAATAATAATAATAATAATGTTATAAATATTAGATATATATATATATATAAATAAAAAATAATTAAATATTTCTTTTACATAGATATTTTAATATAAATATAATAAATTAAAATGTATATTTAATTAATAATAACTATAAATTATAAATATTTATTTATATATAAAAATAAATAGTAAAATTAATTTATTATAAATATAATTATATTTTTTAAAATAATATAAATCGGGGACGGGACGGGAGCGGAAAACCCGAAACCCAGTGGAAACGTGAATGAGGACTTAATTCCTAACCCTGACGGGTATCGGAGCGGCCGTTGCTATGCCTATAATAGGATATAAATGTCTCTTTGAATGATTTATTTGACTTTGAACTTTGAATATTAGAAAGAGATGGTGGGCACTGACAATAAGAATAAACTAATACAAAATTATTTTATTTTAATTAATAACTTCAAAATTATATTAAATATTTACAAAAATAATTTATAACTAATATTTCAGCACGTTCTTCTATCATAAAATAACAAGTAGTCTCTCATAAAAGGTTTAGTTTAAAATTTAGTATTTCACATAATACGATTAAGAGCATAATCAAATCCTATACAAATACTAATGATATATGTTTTTAAATGCATATTTTACAATGACTTAATTGATATTTATTTAAAAGTACTAGTGCCAACATGTTGCACGTTAGACACGTGCAATAGGCATGCTTTCGCCGACCCCAATTTGGCGAGAAAAGTGAAGGGTGTGGGACGTTGTGACCTTCGCTGGCAACCATGGAAAGTGGTCTCCGAACGCTGTTTCGCGAATGCTCGCATTGGGATTTCGACCCTTCACTTCAATTGCAGTGCAATGCAAACAAATAGTGCTATAAACCAAACACAACCTTATTCATTGTAAGCCTTCTCGTGATCCCATATACACCCTTGTTAAAAGTTCGTTGACCATGGAGCTCTCTGTGCCCTTCAGATTTCGATCAGGGAATCTCCTCTCACCCTTTACTCACGTACCCATCAGCCACCCTTTCAAGCATCAACTTCCCTTTTCAACCAAGGTCGTCAACAAGCCCAAGATTTCTACACTAACGGTTAGAGCTCAGAGAAGGGCACCTATTGAAGGGGTGAGCGATGAGTTGAACGCTATAGCTCGTCGTAACCTTGACTTTGCTTACACTCGCAGAAGGGTCCGCGCTGCTTTCACCGAGGTTCAGCAGCAGTTGGATCATTGCTTGTTCAAGGTTAGTTTAGTTTTTACATTGAATATGTATGTTTGGACTAACTCTCTATAAGGACTTGTATTTAAATTTGTTTTTATAAATTAAAATGAACTTCAAATTTAGCTTATACAATTGAATTTTATAAGCTCTTTTATAAGGTTCTCTATCTTGTAGATAAATTAATTTTAGTTTATAGAAATTCTTATGGAGAAACAGGTCAAAAGGTTTTGATTGTCGATGTTTACATTTTGTTTTTATCTTTAGTTTTGAGTTAATATATTATTTGGTATTTGAGAGTGAAGTTTTTAACTTTTATTGCTTTTATTCCTTTAAGTTTTCGCCTGTACAGTTGATGGATGAAATTATTTAGAAAGGCCCAAAGTAACATAAGCTGTATCTTTATACTAAGGTTTTAAACTGTGATTGTGATCCTTAGTATTGTGGATATTTGCTTACAAATGTGGCTAATGCAGTTGAGTCGTGATTCTCTAGCAGAAATCCGTAAACCTTGATATTGAGGCCACGCTTGCAGTTGCAGCTCTTTAATTAAACTATGTTTTGGAAAACACTTTTAGGAGAATTAACTTAGCATTAGTCAAAAGTTTGAGGTAATTTGGATAAATTTCTTCATAAGCACTTTTAGAGAAAGAAGTCAGGAAGAGAAAAGTGAAGTAAGTTTCTCTATAAACTAAAGCTAAAACTAACTTAGTTGAAAAGGATAAGTTAATAAAAGAGAACTTCTACAAATTTTAGTTAACGGAGAAATTTATTTCATTTTTGTGTCTTATTTTCCTCTTTTATAGGTATCTATTGAAAAAAATCATCAAAAGATACCCTTTATTCATAAGCTAAGTTGTTAAAACTCTCTTAAACTAGCTTCTCTAAAAGCTTATTTCTAATTTATTTATATGCTAATTAGTTTCTTTTTCTTACAAGTGCTACGAGAAGTTTATTTAAACATCGTTAAAACCTTGCTTTATAGAACAGAGTTATACATGAACTCCTTAAATTTCCCATTACTGAGTATGAGTAGCACTTTGTTCAAGACTCGGTGACTGACTGATGTTTTAACCTCTGTCGCTAGAATGCTCCAGCTGGGATCAGAACTGAAGAAGTAAGATTTTCTGCTTTACCTAATTATTTTCGAAAAACTAAGAGAATGTTGATGTTCTGAAGCATTTTCCCTTGACTAGTTTGTCACCTTGCTTGAAAATGTTATTTATTTTTTATTTGCTGGATGAATAGTGGTACGAAAGGAATTCGAGGGGATTAGAAACTTTCTGCAAAAGTTGGATGCCAAAGCCAGAGATTCCACTCAAGGCTTCTGTGTGTTTCTGTCATGGATATGGTGATACTTGTACCTTCTTCTTTGAAGGTTTGTGATGGTATATGCTGTGCTATATGTTTCTAAGGAAGCTAAAGATTCATTGTTCTATGATTTGGAGAGGATTTGGATTTTGTATTCAGGTATAGCCAGGAGAATTGCTGCATCCGGGTATGGTGTCTTTGCAATGGACTATCCAGGTTTTGGTCTTTCAGAAGGATTGCATGGTTTTATACCAAACTTTGATTATCTGGTCGATGATGTTATAGAGCATTATACAAAAATTAAAGGTGTGTCTTTCACTTTTCAGTATCCATGTGTCATATTGATCATTGTCATTATATTTTTCGTGCTTAAAGAAATGTTATTAATTATGTTTTGTATTTCAATTGACAGCCCGGCCTGAGCTGAGAGACTTGCCTCGATTTATATTAGGACAGTCAATGGGTGGAGCAGTTTCTCTTAAAGTTCATTTGAGGGAGCCAAATAATTGGGATGGAATGATACTTGTAGCTCCAATGTGTAAAGTAAGCTCATTCCTCTGTATTTTAATTGATGCTCCACAACATCAGTTTTCTTTAATTTTCAAAGTACGATTCAGCTTAAATTACTTTGTCAATGATTGTTCTAAACTACAAAAGAAGTCTAACTTGATATGCGTGTGTCTTGGAATTACTCACAAGCAATTAAGGCTGATGCAGTGACAATTGCTGTGGTGATGCAATTGTAAATACCTCAAAAATTGAAATATTGCAAGCACCATTGCAGTTGCAAGCTGCAATCTAAAATAGCGTTACTCTAGTGTCCACCTGATTTAAAAGTATATTTTCCTAATCATTTATGTTATAATATTCAAACTACGCCACGATATTGTTTTACTTCATTGTTTAGTCAATTGTAATAGTTTTACCAGCACTGCACATATTTTGTTGGATGTTCATATTAAGTATCTATCTGAAAATTATGGCATAAATTGAATTTATGCAAAAAAGAAGAAAAATTTCAGCGTCAACTTTTGGACAATATTTTTCTTTTTTTTATATCAAGATTGATGTGCAGATGCCTCATAATAGACTTGAGATCCTAACGAGGTTGGTACCTCAAGGTCCACCCATCATCTGCAGCACATCATTGATAAAAAATTAAAAGCGAAAATGATACAAGGCTCATGAAGGGACTAGACCAAAATTCATGAGGAAAGATTAATCAAAACGAAAAATAGGGAGGTCACACCTGTTTCTATTATAGTCATAGATAGTTAATACAAAAGGGGCCTATTCCCAACAGTTATGACTAAGTCTATGATCTAAACCGTAATTGGCTAATATATCTTCATAAGAATTCCCTTCTCTAGAAATGTGATAGTAGTCGAAGGCGATTGAAGAGGTGAAATAAAGCCATTTTCCCCATTTCACATGAAGACACCATGACACTATGTGTTCTTGCTGAAGGACCTTAATAACTGAAACAGAGTCACACTCCAGCCAACCCTTTCCGTGATCCAGACTGCTAGAAGTTCAGCAGCAAGAGTGGTCTCTCACAAATAAAAGCAGAGAACGCAGCTATAAACTTTTGGCAATAAATAATAAGGGGACTAATAATAAATTATTTTAGCCTGAACAAAAAGTTATATTTTGTTTCTGGCCCCTTTAAATTGGGGCTGTATTTATTTTATAGTTAGATAAAACATGACTTGCCGACCTTCTGTTTATGGTAAGATTGCAGATGACGTGTTACCATCAGATGCAGTTATGAAGGTGTTAACTCTTTTGTCTAAAGTGATGCCAAAGGCAAAACTCTTCCCAAAAGAGGATATAGATGAGCTGTTCTTCAGGGAACCAAGCAAAAGAAAATTGGTTGGTATCTTTGCAATCACTAGTTATTGCATACTTATATATGATGAAATAAAGAACCATTTCTCTTTCATTTCATGCTCTCTTTCGGAAAATGTCTTGCATATCCTCACTGTTTTTAAATTTGTCACTTAGTTTAAAATTTTGGTTACAATTATTGTCTTAGATATGTTGCAATTATAGCAATAGTAGGAAACTATAGCCAGAATTGCTACAGAAACTTCCCTAACTGCATTGTAGTGGACTAGTAGCTGTAACTGTAGTTTTGAAAACAAGTTTGTATCATGCTCATCATTTACATTTCAGTTACTACTAGATGCATATTATCCGCATGAAGAAAGGATCGCATTATAACCAGTTAGCTATTTGGAGTAGCAGTTTCTATGAGCATGTATATTTATTCGTATATATGAGCTCACAATCCTTTACATGATGATAACATAAGGTCACGAGTCAAGGAACAACCAGATAGAAATAAGCATTCCAAGAAAAGTACTTCCTTATTATCTGTCACAATTTTTTACAAAATTTGGTTCATTTTTATCTGTCACTTTCAAAGGTCTTAAATTATGCTTTGCTAATTGTACGTTGCATTAACAATTAAAAAATGTGATTTAAATTAATTAATAGGAGAGTGAAAGGGAATTATTCTGATGTAGAAATGAAAAGGGTAAAAGAGAAAATCTTATAAATATTTTATTAAAGTAAAAAACATTATCACACTTCTTGGTTTCTCCAAATGAACCTTATTTGGGTGTTCTTATAAATGCAACTGAAACAGGAAAAAACTAAAATGAGATATAATTTGACTGTGGCAAACATTTTTATTCCTCAAGTGTAATTCTTTGTAGGCTGTTTACAATGTCATTTGTTATGATGATAATCCACGGCTTAGAACTGGCATGGAGCTTTTAAGAACCACAAAAGAAATTGAGTCGCAAGTACACAGGGTTAGTTTTCTCTTTCTCTCTTGTCATTTCCCCTCCTTTTTTTTTTTGTTGTTTTTCCTTTTTAATGTAAATTGGGTTTATCCTATGTTTGTTTCTGTTTCTACATATGTAGGAGAGTATTCGTGGTCAAACTTCTCCAAAAAGATTTTTAGAAAAAAAAAATTATGAACAAATGAAATAAACTTCTTCACGAGCTAAAATAAGTTTATGTATAAATTAAAAACTAAAATCTTAGAGATGAGAGAGTTTCTATAAATTAATTTATACATAAAATAATTTTAACTTGTAGAAAAATTCATTTCATTTTTGTCACTTATTTTTCTCTTCTAGAAGTTGGTATAGAGAAACTTGCTTCTTATTTTTCTAATTTTAACATACTCTAATTGTCATACAATAAGACGAGCATTTAACTGTTCTGTGTGTGGAGTGGGTGATTGCAGGTCTCAGCGCCATTATTGATTCTTCATGGAGCAGAAGATAAGGTGACTGATCCATTAGTGAGCAAGTTTCTGTATGAGAAAGCATCCAGCAAAGATAAGACTTTAAAGCTCTATGAAGGTGGTTACCACTGCATTTTGGAAGGGGAACCTGATGACAGAATATTTGCTGTACATGATGACATAGTCTCGTGGCTTGATTTTAGGTGTTCAACTAAATGAGGTCTATGCATGTATTATTGCTCCATCTTTTTGTCCTCTCATTCTTAAAGTCATAATATTTCAAACAAGATTATATTTAGTCCCTATAAAATTTAATTCTTATAGAAAAACTGCACATTGTCTCGTTTACAAGTTATATATAGAAACAGAATGTGATACTGAGATTTAGAACGAGTATTGGTAATAGCTAATAAATGTGAAAGAAAATAACACTATGCAGGTAATAACTATAAAATATTTTTGTTATGTTTTGTTGAGTATTTATAGCTCAACATTTTTCTAGTAATTGAAACCCCTTTTAAAAGCAAACTTTGTGTATCATAAAAGAATCATCATGTGATGTAGAAAAAATAAAAAATAATTCTAACTCTGGTATTTTGAAGAGGCATGACTGAAATAAAAGCATGGAAAATCTTGTGGGGAAAGTTAACAAATGTATATGCAGAAGCCTAAACTTTCAACTTACCATGCAAACAAAGAAATAATATTACAAATTAATTTTTCTAAATGTTATTATTTATCTTGATATCATTTTAAAATTAATGGTTAAAAGAATGGAAATTATGGATTGATTTGAGTACTGATGTCGTTGTTACTTTAGAGACCACATTTTCAGTCTCTAACGTGTTCAAAATAAAAATATTTTAATAACAAATATATCAGTCGTTAAGGTTAGTTCTTAGATGTATTTTTAATATTTTCCTAGCAAAACATTAATAATAAATATATTTATCATTGATATTGATAGCTATTATTTATTTTAATTATTATTTAAATAAAAATATTAATGACAAATTAGTCAATTATTTCTAGAATAATTAGCAACAAATATATAATCGCTAGATGATTGTTTTGCTTGCAGAGACTATATTTTTAGTCTCTATTTAAAAACAAAATAATTAATAGCAAACATATTTGAGCTAGTATATTAAAGATTATAATAAAAATTTAACAAACAAAAATATTTTAAGTTTTCAATAATTATACTTTTAATTTTTAATTTATTTAAAAAATAATTAAATGAATTCTTTAATATTTATTTAGAAATCATAATAAATTTAGTAATAAATATCTTAGTTACTAATATTTTGGTCAACATTGTATTAAATATCACATTTTATTTAAAATGTTAAAAATAAAATAATTAATAACAAATACATTAATCTTTAAATTTTGATAGTTAATTTTTAATAATTATAATGAATTATGCTAAAAAGGAGAAAACACGTGATATTTATAGATAATTTTTTTTATCAAATTCATATTTATAACATGGAAAACTTGATAAATGTGTACACATTTAAAAGTTATATATATATATATATATATATATATATATATATATATATATATATATTAATGTTTAAAATTTAAATACTAAAATATAAAAAAAGTAAAAAATTAATAAATAATTATATTTACAATAAAAACAACGACAAACTTAAAATTATAGCGCATATCTAAAATTTTATATAATGAAGTATTTTATTTCAAAATCACAGTAGATTCAATCATTCTTACTTTATTGTTGCCTTTTACAACTAAATCATAAATAAACCACAAAATTATTTTCTTTTTATTTCTTTAATTTTTATAACCAAAAAATAGTGCATGGGTAATATAAAATAATTAGAAAATATTATTACTCTATTACTTTGATAAAATATTTTAAAACTATTTTATATAATATGTTAGAATACAAAACTAACATAATTATAGACAAAATGATGCATATTAATTGAGGTTTCACATTCAGAAATTAATTTCAATTAGTGTAAAATTGTATTGAGTTAAATTATCTATAATATATTTTAATCAGATAAAAAAATTATACCAAATGATATTGCTAACTTATTTTTAGAATAAAAATTTCAGATATTTATTTGTAAATAAAAAAAATATAAAAATATAAAACAATCAAAAAGCATATAACTTAAAATAAACTTTTTAATAGATTTAATGATTTAATTTTTATAAAATATAAAAATATTAAATAATATTTTAGAATACATGGGTAAATAAATATATCAAGTTACATTCATTTCTATACTTTTAAATAATATCACATGTCCTAACCTAATTTATGTTACATTTGATTACAGCAGCGTGGAAGATTAACCTAATTTTATTATGTTGGAAAGGACAAAAAACAAAAAATATATATGCAAAAAAAGTTATGTTTCTCTTTCATCTGGAGAGACATGAGCAGTTAACAACATAAAATCAGCAGAGACTGAACATAATTGATCGAAAGAGAACAAAAATATTAACACAACCACACTGCAGGCATGCATGGAGTTAGTGACAGAGCAAACAATAACTGTGAAAGCTGCTACAAAAGGCTACGCATGTGCGTGTTTTCGAACTCCACGAGCTGATGAACAACGAAAACATCCAAAACTGATCACGATTTTGGGTTCTTGTTTTCTAAAGTAACGTAAGAAACGAGATATGTATTACAATGCATCGTGCATGTGATGGTGATCGAAGGTCGACTTTGCTCTTTCAACTTTATCTGGGGATGGGGTTAGTGAGTGATTCTCCATCCCCAGCCACACGATGTTTTCAGCTCTCTGCACTTCAGATACCATCATCAATTCCACTCTTTCAAGGGATTGGTTCGGTGAAAACCATGGTCCAGTTTGGTTTGTTAACATCAAACAAACACTGCTCTACTATTAACTCTGCACAAAATTAAAAACTCTGCACCAATGCTTTGTTTCTTTCTTTTATTTACATTTTGATTCTACTTGCTTATTCCAGTCAAGTTGAAAGAGATGAAGTTGAAAAATTCATTTAAATAAATGATAAATTGTGAGATTAAAAAAAAAAGTAAAATTTTTAGATATAAGAAACAAGTCATTTTATATATATATATATATATATATATATATATATATATATATATATATATATATATATATATATATATTTCAAATCATTATATTAGTTACATATATTTTAAATTTAAAAATTTATTTAACAATAATATTAATTTCTGTACAAAAATTGAGGAAACAGGTTTTATTCGGAACTTCATACTTCAGTTACAAACTGCATAGAAAATAATTATTCCTGTTAAGTAAGGAATGTTGCTGTATCAGAAACAAGGTAGTTTTTACTGAGTGTTTCACATCAAATAAAATCTTGATCTTTCATTATCAGTGCCTTATATGAATGAGTATTGAATTAATATCTTTGGTCAAAGACTAAATAATAATGAGTGACTATTTGGTAATGTCTTTATCAATGCTTTTTTTCTTCTTTAAAATAATAATATGCTAAAAAGGAGAGTGATCAGGGTTGGTCATTTGTGAGCACAAATCTGTATGGTATAAGTACTATAGTCTATATCTACACATGATTATTTTATTATTTTTTAGACAAAAAAATTATTAGTTAATTATACTATATTTGAAAACTTTTATTAGTAGATTATTAGAGATATTTGGTTACATTTTACAGAGTTAATTTCTCTTCTGTTTATGGTGAAGAGTTGTAATTCCATCGTCCATATATCATTTGTAAAAGGTCACCTAACATTACTAACATGTTATAGTCGAATCCAATTTGGTTGATGGAAATATAGAAAGTGAAAAAAAAATGGTAAAGAGAGAAATGTATAAAAAAAACAATATAAAAAATTTATTTGATTAAAAAAAATTATTTAAAAAAATTATTATATATTTAATTTTGTCCTCGATAGTATTTTTATAATATTTTTATTTTATTTTATTTTATATTATTATTATTATAATATAACAGAACAAAAACATAATAAATTTAGTAAATGAGTGACATGTTTAATAGTTTTATATAATTAATTAAGACAAAAAGAAAAAAATACATTTTTTGCAATTGAAATTGTGTATTTTTTTTATGAAATTAATTTTTCTAAACAAGATTATATTTAGTATTCTATTAAATTATTATTATTGTCTCATTTTTACTCACTTCTTTAATATTTTTTTTTCAACTCTTTTTCTATCATATTAAGCATAACCTATATCACAACATAAAAAAAAAAAAAAAAAAAAAACTGTCTTAATACTTGGGAAACGATGATCTTAAATAATCTCTAATGTTTAGGATAAAAAAAATAATAATTTGATTAAGTCTAGTAATCAACTTAAAATATCAAAATTTATAAATATATTTCATAATTTCACTGGAAGATCAAATAGGGACAATAGTTATTAAAAATAGATAAAGAAAAAAGAAAAAAAAATGTTAGAATTAATTTTAAATAACCAAAACTAAATATTAAAGTTTATATATTATCAATAATTTTTTTAATAAAAATATTTTATTTTTAATTTCTTAAATTTTTAACACATGTAGCTAAAATTAACAATAATAAAATTAATGTTATTTATAATAAAAATTAGAAACAATATAAAAATATTAGAGTTAAATTTGTGTAGTACAAATTATCTAATGTTCAAAATAATAACTTTAAAATAACATTATTATGTTCAATATTTAATAAATATGTTAATTTAATAATAATAAGAATAATAATAACTATTATTTTTAAATAAATATTATTGACAGATTAATTTTCGCACTGTCATATTTCAATATATTTACAGATGTTCAATTAAAATAATTATATACATGATAGTTTTGATAATCCACATGTTAATATATTTATAAATATAGGACTAGGATATATGTTGATTAATCTTAACAACATTCTGAGATATTATATATCAACATTAAGAATAATAAAATTATTATCATAATGAAACTAAGTTATTTATTAAGTATTAACATAAAAATATTAAATTATTGTTTAGAATTTATAATATTATTTAATATAAAAATGAGAAAAGTTATCTAAGATGGATGTGAGTCAGCGATTCTGATGGTGAACGTCTTTTCATCAACTATCTCAATCTAACTGTGTTCTATATACAATGTAGGTGATAGGTAGGTCCCTAGCTAATACCTAAGAATGCTTCACTGTCTAAGCACCTGAACTGATATCTATTTAAGCTCTGCATATTCACGCGGATGGCTTCTCCAAAAATGGATTTGGCCTATAAACTGTGCATATTTCAGGCAGAGTCTGAAATTTCTGCAACTTTGCGTTCTATCAATCACTTCACCAACCTAGAGCTACTTCTTACTAGCCACACTCTAGACTCAGCCATGCACATATGGACAACAATAACTTTACCTTACTTGTTACTTCTCTTTGCCTCTTCAGTTTTTAAGACTTCCTTTCACAACTATGCAGATGCTGATATATATAAAAGTAAAATTAATAAAATATGCTGATATACACACGTTTCTAGACACAAAAGTGAATGAGAAGAATATGTTGTGCCTCCATGTAATAGAGTTTGAAAGTATACGTTGTGTTTCTTCACACTCAAGATCATGTCTAATTATTTTTAATGTTATATTCTAATGTCATTTATGTTTGAATATTTTAATGTTGTGTTCAGTATTAAAAAAGAGATTTTTTTTAATTAAAATGAATATTTTGGTAGAAGATTTTGGTCAATAAAGATGAGATATAATATGTTAGTAGCATCTCCATGTCCTACCTGTGGTTGTAATTATTCTAGTTCATTAAAGATAATCTTAATTTAAAAATACATACATATCTGTATATCACAATTCACTATTAAAAAAATATATAAATATATGGTATACTAAATTTAGTGAAAAATATTGAGTAATTATTCATTATTAAATTATTCACTGAAATATACTTCAAATTTAATAATTAAAATTTATTTTCAGTCACAAAATATCTGTCAGTAAAATATATAAAAATATATTTTTAATTATTTTATTAACATATTAAGTATAATGATATTTAGTAAAAATAATTTATTATATTTTTAATAGCATATTAAATATTTAAAAAATATTATAGTATTTGAAATTACATATTTAAATATTAAATGATATTAAACATTTTAGTAAGATAATTATTTATTTTTATTGAGTAGATGTTATTTAAAACAAAAACATTAAGTTCGCTTTCTAATTTATTCTTTTGAATAGTTACTAAATCAAATAACTGAATTATTATTATTATTATTATTATTATTATAATAATAATAATAATAATAATAATAATAATATAACTTTAATGTATGAATATTTACTTATCTATTTATTTATATGTAAAAGGAAACTAGAAGTTGTTTTGATTGTTAGATTGATATTTATAACTATCTATTCATCATTCCACTCTAAAATATGATATAATAATATTCATATACCTGACCTATGCTATATTTTGATCTAGAGGTTGAACTATTTTCTCTTCATTACCTTGTGTAGTAAAACTTTGTGTACTTGAAAGAGAAATTCTTGTATCTAAAGTGTTATTAGCCTACTCCTATTATTCTCTTAAAACATCTTCAGAAACAACAAGAAAATTTTTGGTTAATATTGTGATTGAAAATTTGATGATAACATCGATACTAGAAAAAAATTGTAGGGTTAATTAGCAAGTAAAAATATGTGAGGGTAGCTTCATTTTTTTTCCTAGGAAAATCAACATCAATGACATGTGTTTCTTACATAATTTCATGTTCATCATCTTCCATTACATAATTTTTGAACTCCATCTATATAAAATAAAATAATATATTTTATGTTTGTGATCTATATAACTTTATTTATCATGAAAATATAAGTTTAAAGTTTATTGTAAATTATTTGTTTCATTTTGTTACACTTTACAAATAAAACAAATGATAATTAAAGGGTTACCATAGTGAAAAGCTCCTACATTGAATTGTTATTTAATATCATTTATTGGGACTAAATGATATGTTTATGAGAGCTTTTCTATATAATGCACTTTTATATAGTACAAAATATTGTTGAAAAAAATAAATTGTTTAATATTGCTTCTTCTTATTTATATAAAATTAATTAAATTTAGCTATGTTGCTAATCCAACTGCTGTAACTCTAATCTTAAACTAGGTCAATATTTCTAATTCTGCAATTCTTAAATCATTATTTGTTTATTAAGTATATATTTTAATTTTTATGATAAAACATTAAAAAATGATATTTTTTAATAGATATATCAATGTAAAACCATTCACAATAGTATTATGATTATATACTATATAATCATATTCATTCCTTTAATCACTTAACCATTTTTCATGTCATTAAAATATTAATGAATATAAAATAGATGTGTGCAATGGTAAAAGATCTCTTGCAATTCATGTTTCCTATTTGCAAGAATAAGAAGCTTTTATATATGACAAAGTGAATATTAGACCATAAGTATATTGCATGCATTGTTGTATGTAATACACAAATACATCGTTACACTCATCTTCAATATAAATAAAAGTAATCTCCCAAAATCCTTGCCTATGTTTCAAGAAATAAATTTATTTCATATATATATATATATATATATATATATATATATATATATATATATATTACTTATTTTGTAGCATACAGTTATCTATTAGATTAATGGTTTAATGTACTTGTGAAATAAGAAAAAGAAGAAGAAAAAAAAAAAAAGTGGGTGGAGTGGTGGTGAAAAATTGCATTTAACTTCTCAGTCTTACAAGTATGATCTTGTTTTTCATTATTAGCACTTGGGGTACACAACACAACGAAAGCAAGAGTTGAAATTTCACTTAGGAGCTTCAAGCCAAAGTAGCTGAGGATGTTCATGAGCTCAAAAGCTGCCTCCATTAATAAGTATATAACCAAAAACAAACTCTCTCTCTCTTTCCTTTACCCTCATGACCCCATGTGTCAGCTCGTTAAGTCTCTCTCTTTCTGAATAGTATGTCTTTTGTGATACAAAATAAAATCATCACCACTCATCAAAGCCCGTTGTGACACCGATTGATCGCTGAGTGAGTATCCAATCGCAGCTGTGTTCCTGAATAGCCCCTTCCCCAATTCAAAGTTTCCTCCTGAGGATTTTGCAGTGACCTGTCTTTGCCATCACCCACCAATGCTTGTCCTACGGGTGCCCCAATGCAAGTGTAGTCATTGAGGTTGTGATTCTTGGTGCCGCTGCTCAGGACATGACCCACATAGTAATCATTCAGTCCATGATGGTGTTGAGAATAGGGCGAGGGAAAAGGAAGGGGTGGTGGAGGTGAGGCTAATAAAAAATGTTGAGACGGTTGTTGCAGTTGGTGCTGTGGTGGCAGTGGAGGTGGTATGTGAAACGAAGATGAACCCGACATGTATGTAGGGAACATTGCATGCATTGTTGGGTCTCCCATGTTGCTTGCAGGATGATAGCCCCCTGATGCGACTGGTTGACAGCATCTGAAACAAGTGAGCATTGTTTTAGTTTACTTTTGTAAAAAGACAGACAACATCAAAAGGATTAGGAGAATAACAAGAGGTCAATTTCATGGTTGTTAAATCTAAGATATGAACGACTTAATTAATGAAGTGTAACAATACCTAAAAGCATAAGAATGTGATTAACTTTTTTCTTATTTATCTATTCTTTTGAATCACCTTCTTCTTTTACTGCACATACCACTTTTGTTGCATAATTTTCAACTTTTTCTTCTTTCAAAGTGTTAAAATCCTATGACTTCTTTATAATCATTATACTTTCTACTGTTTTGTGTTAATATACACATCTATTTAATATTTTATTTTTATGTTATTCTTGTTTTCTTTATTATTTTTCTAAAACTCAATAACATTCTCTTGCTCATATTTATCACATGCAAGACTCATATCATTTTATTTATCAAATGATATCTCTAGGAGATGATTAATAATGTTTAAGAAGAACATAAATGACAGTTAAAATGATGGATCAGATCACAAATGAAAGAGAAAACATATAAAAAAGAGGAATCAGAGTAAAGGCGAGTACATACCCTAGGTTGGGGGCGGGTTGAGTGCTTAGGTTATGATCATTATGGTAGACCAACTGACGAGCATGATTCAGTGTCTCTGTTTCCCTTTCTGCATCACAGACTCACACACGCATCAAATCAAATAATTTTTTTAAAAAGTACATCTTCATGCCAAGAATTTCAGCAACTTCAATTTTATGATTGAAATGACCTCTCTTTCCTGGTCAAATCATTTAACAACCGTGCAAAGAATGTCTATTTCTTCAATCAAGGAATATTGAACAGCTTGTATATTAAGGTTTTGTAGAACTGAGTTTAAGAATTTATTTATTTTTGGAGACAGTGAAAGATGAAACAACAAAAGTTAAGAAGACAGTTATCTAGCCTTGGCGGTGGCGGTTCATGTGTCCCCCAAGAGCCTGTGACTTGCAGAACTTAAGGGAACAAAATCTACACTCGTAGACCTTCTCACTCTCATCATCCTTCAAGCTGTCTTTCTTTCTCCTGAACCCTGCTGCAAATGAAGTCAATTTAACAATATCCCTGAAACCCCTCTTTCCAGATTGTCCAAACCATGAATAAAAACAAGAAAATGTTTTGTTCTAGCTATTTTGTTTCCTCATATATGACGGAAAAACAAAAGCTTTCAATTAATTTGGAGTGAATATGTCCCCAAAAAAGAAAATTAAATAATAGGACAACTTTTATGTTGCTTTGAACATTTATAGTAACATGCATGTTGTATGATCATTGATTAGAAAACGTTTTACCAGATGAGGAACTATCCTGGAGGAGTTGTTTACCATCTCTAGAGCACTCATCAGGAAAGTTGTTGAGATCCAATGGGTTATTTTCTGGTCTCCTGTTAAGCAACAACAAAGTCAAGAGAGAGAATATGATATATACTCGAAAGAGTTAGAGAAGGATACAGTGAAGATAATGAATGAGAAGAAGTGTGAAGGTGGTGGGGGAAGACCTACATGATACCGACAGAGAGAGACAGAAAAAAAAAAAAAAAAATGAAGAAGTGGGAGTGCAGTGGGGCAAACACTTTGTTTCAGATGGAAGATAAGACTAAAGCATTTTGTTGAACACTTCAGTTTGATACTGCCATATATAGATGCTATCAGCTGAGTGATGGTGCAAGATAAAAGAGTTTTGAAAGTTCTCTATCAGTTCCTCTGCCACGTCTCTCTCTCTCTCTCTCTTAAACATAAAATTAAACCAAAAAAGGGACAACAGGTCTCGTGACTATGGAAAGAACAAAAGAAAAAAAAAAATTATGTATTCAGACTGTAAAATAACTTTGTATTGCTATGATTATGGTTGTAAATTGCTGTCTGCAACCCAATTGCGGCTGCAATATTGCTGTTGCAGTTCCCCCAACACAACTGCAAGCTTGTAATTACTGTGTAATTTTTGAATCATATATTTGTCCCTAGTGTCTAGAGTTTAATTGAAATCTGAATCATTGTTTTATTTCACTTTTATCAAAGATTCTAATCTCAATATATTCTACTTTAACTTCAAAATGTTAATGGTGAAATGAATATTAATTGTTGTATGCGATGTTGATGGAGTACAAGATATATCTCATGGTTACATGTAGGAAATGCATAATTATAAAACATGTATCAATTGCCATTACTATATATAATTTCATTAGTTGTTGTGGTTTTAAATTGCAGTCTGCAACAGCAATTGCAGCCACAATATTGCCATTGGGTGCGACTTTGAATGAAATCTAAAGTTCTATTTCTTTTTCATCATTAAAAAAAAAATTCTAATTTCAATCTTTCGTTCTAAACTCTAAGTGTCAATGATGGAATGATTATTGTTATGTGGTGCAAGAGACTCTTCATGGGGAAAAGCTGAAAAGTAGTGTAGTACATAATTGTAATATATATATATATATATATATATATATATATATATATATATATATATATATATATATATATATATATATATAATTAGTAATTAAAAAAATATATGAAAATTTATAAAAAATAATTTTGTGTAAGTGACATTTAAAAAAAAAATTAATATTCATGTAAGTTTTAAAAAAAAATAAAATTAAAGAAGTGTGAAATATATTGGAATTAAAGAATTAATTAATAAAAAAGAAGTGTAAGGAAAAGTAATAAATTATATAGGTGAAAGATGGCAATGAAATGAAAGAGTAGTTTGAGCATTAAAGGCTGCTTAAGAATGAAAGATGAGAAAGAAAGAAGGAAAGGGAAGGAATAGGGTGACAAGAGATTTTGTGTGGTTTCTGTGCTCAAAGAAGGGCACATGTCTGAGAACATGGCATGCCATATATGGTCCACAATCGACGAATGCTTCATGAAGGGTTTCAAATTCGATCCAGGGGACTTCGACTTGCACCAAGGAAGGGTTGCTATCAGTATCTATCATTAGGGTTTTTGCGATCTGGGTTGATAGACCCAACCCCACATGTTGTTTTATCCTTTGGAACTTCCCATATCTCATACATTACATCTACATGATCCTTTTCAATCCATGGTTTTGGAACTGTGCAAGTGGATTTCAATTTTCTTAACTTACATATTCTTTCTTTCACTCTCTGTTTGCTTTAGGATTTCATTATTACATCTTGCTTCCTCTGCTTTTGCCAATTGGTGGGGTAATGGAAGAAGTAAAAATTAAAACAGATGATTAAAGAAATAAACAGATGAGAACACTACTGACAATGGTTAAAAGGATCGTCGTTAACCCAATCACTTTGATTCAATATCAAAAGATATGGTCATGATTGAAGAAAAAAATCAAAAGATGATTAAGAAAAAGAGATAATTCTACTTATTAATATATCTCTAAAGATACAATAGAGATAGGACTAATAAACAGAAGAAAAAAAAATAACTAAGAAATCTAATCAAAAAGTATAATTGTTAAACCACTTTTTTTATAAAAGCAAAATTACACTAAATTAAGACAAAAACAAGACACTGCAAGATGACCTCATTGGTCTTGTCATAGGTCTGAATGTTGTTGTTGGGTTCATCCAAAGCCAATTATTTGAAACGTCGCTCACTAGGTTTTGCGGGAATACTTGAAGTGGACTCTTGGCCCAACCATGAGGTAAGGGAACTGAAGTTGGCGGTTTTTTCTTGCACCCTAATATTTACCTAAAATGACAATAATGTAAATAGATTCCAAAAAGTTCACTTTTAAAAAATTTCGACAAAATACAATTCGAAAATAAATTCTAAATTGTGTTCTCTAAAATTCATTTCTGGATTTTATTTTCAGATATTCAACCATCTAAAATTTTTTTTTGGATTGTGTTTTCTAAAATATATTTTTGATCCTAAAATGAGTTTCAGGTTATTTGAATATGGAATATATTTTTAAAAATAAGTTTTAGATTAGCCCATCTAGAACTTACTTTTAGACTTTATTTCCTAAAAATATATTTCAAATTCAATAATATGAAATACCACAAATACAAATCAAATATGTTTTTTTACAGGATTTTTGGATATACAACATAACATATTATATGTTTCGAAGCATAAATAATCAAAAAATTTAACCTTAAAGCGAAAATGATGTTTAAATAAAGACGAAGGAGATGCAACAAGCGCAAGTGTTGGCAAAGAGGTGTAGCAGAGGAAAAATATTGATCTCAAGAACATTTTTTACATTTTACATATAACATGGGGTGCAAAAGAAAATTATAGAGGTGCAAGAAGAAGCCGGTAAAGTTTCTTAGTGGGCTTAAGGAGAGGGATAGGATCTTGCTAATCCTATAAATTTTGGTTTCCATGAGGTTAGTTTACCACCTATATGTTTTTTTTTTATCTGTGATTAAAAAGTTTATTGAATATAGTTACGAGATAAAATTAAATCTTCTTGTAAAAAAGGATAAACTTAAAATTTATTAAAAATTTACTAAATAAAATGTGTGTGACTTTTATGCAAGTCTCAGTAAATATATTTATCCAAAAATGATACTATGTTGTAAGCTAGCATTGTAAAGTTATATTATAAATGTATGAAAATAGTTATAATTAAGTTTGTATAAAATTTAAATAGTTTTGACCCAGTGATTAAAATAGTTTTATTTAATTCAGTCTTAAAAATACATATTTTTAGAGGGAAGGAGTGGAACTGGTAAGGGATCACGGTCCCAAGAAAAAAAAATCTTTTAAGTTTTTATTAAGAAAAAATAATACTATCCCCTAAAAATTTATTTATTTGGATTGGTTCTGTAAAATTAATTTTCTGATCTCAAAAGGTGCTTGATTGGATGAATTATGAATATCCTGAATATACTTTATTCGTTTCAAAAGGTGTTTGATTGCATTTTATGTGTCTTGCTCTTTTGGTGTTAATTAAATTGGGAAAAAAATTGTTTAGATTAAGCGGGTATATTTATTTTGGATTAGAATATTATGAAATTGAAAATTGAATCAATCAATTGGTTGTATAGGTACATCTTGATGTTACTATACATTTCAGTAAAATATTAAAAAAAAAAAATAGAAAGTTTGAATAACACTTATTGTGAATAAAAAGAATGTACAAAAAATGTTACATATGTTTATTTCCGAATCGAGATTTAATCAAATGTTATTTTCACAATAGACAATAGTAAAATGTATCTAAAACAATGTAAAGTTATTAGACCAAAAATAAAGCACGACAATAACAGAGTTAATTAAATCTTTTGTAACATGAACCAAGTGCAAGGTCTTACAACAAGGAAATAATGCACAGATAATAGATAGATTGTTTTATTTGGTTTGGTCTGTTTATGTAGGTCATGTGACAGTAGCACCTCACATGAAAGGTAGAGAGGGTGTCATAGGAAACCCTTGTCTTGAAAACTTTTGATGCAGTCATCAAACATTTGTTCAAGGGTTATGAATGGAGGAAACCCCAACTGAGTAATTTTGGTGGTGTCCATGGTGTGTGGGTTGTTGTCTCCCTCCTGGCTGCTGCACCTGTAAAGTACGTAACACCGACATCAAAGCATAAAAATGTCGAAGCAGAATGATATTTCAATTGATAGCATACATGGTTTGACTCACTTGATTTCATATGGGTAAGAAGGATATTTAGAACGAAGCATTTGAATGATTTGCGACCAATGAGCTACTGTGCTTGAACAAATAAGCCTCCCAGACACCCTGGTATCCTCCATAGCCAACAAGTGAGCAGCTACCACATCGTCTATGTGTACAAACCCCACTGTTGTGTTTGGATATTCCCCTTTCAAGCCTGTTAGAAGTTTAAGAAGATGATATTGCATGACAGAATAGCTATTCAATCTTCGTCTATGACCTTCATCAATTATACTAACCTTTGACAATGCTAAGTATCAAGAGGAGTGTGCTTGTTGGTTGTGGTGCAAGCAGTGGACCAACAACGAAAGAGGGATTGACAACAACTATGTCGATGCCATTTTCTTGTGCAATCCTCCAACACTCTCTCTCCGCTACCGTCTTTGCATATGCATACCACAGCTGAAAATATTTCCTCTAGTTTAATACAATGCCAACTGGACAAGCTTACACCTTCCATTCATTGATTCAAGTTAAACGTTATGTATTTTTGCAGTTTTTATATGAGCCATGAATCAATCAAAATAATATGACAAGAAGCAATTGAACTTTTTTTTTTTTTTCTACATTTTTAAGGACTTAGTTTTTAGGTTTTATTTTTTATTGTAATTTTTTTGAATTATAAATGTAGTTTAGGATTTGATGTTACACCTCAATTAAACACATTTAATCAAAGTTCAAGTTTATGTGGATCCCAACTTCAATGTTTAAGAAGACTCAAACATTATATATGTTTTTTTTTAACAAATAAATAGAAGACCAATCCAATGGTTATGATTGTTCTGATATATTGAACTAATTGATTCGTTTAATTATTAATAGAATTTTGATTATTCAAAATTCTCGATGTCATTCTTGTATTTTGTTAAAAGTTTCATATAGATCTTTTTCCTTACATTGAATTTAAAAGAGTTGATTGACATGTCTATTTCTTATTTAAGATTTCAATTAAAATAAATGAGAATGAACTTTTTAATCTGAGTGATAGATTTGTTATAGTTAGAATAATGGATTTATGATAAATTTGAGACTTAAAAACAAAAGTATTAAATAATATTAGTAATAATATAACTATTATTCAATCTATTTATTTCTAAAATATATTCTTAAAATGTAAAAAAAATATAAATTTTAATGAAATTATTATTATAACTACTCAACTTAATCTAAGATTGTATAGCAGTGTCAATATTTCAGGTAAAATATAAAATTGGGTAGGAAGTGTAATTACGTTGTAGCGTTTGCAGTACTCTAAATCAGTCCAATGAGATTCATTGAGAGGACACAGCTGTTGCACATCATCACGGTATCTTATGGAAGAGCATGAAGAAGTGAGCACAAAACGTTTCACTTTTGCCTTTACGCACGAGTTAAGAACATTCAAGGTTCCTTTTATGCAGGGATCAATCAAATTTGCCTGTTAAATTAAAAGAAATTGAGCAAATGATAAAGAAAAGTATGCATCTTAAAGATGCATATAACTGAAATAAGAGCAAACTTCGTGCTATGTGAAAACAGAGAAGATTCGTAACTTTTGTTTAGATTCAAGAAATTACTGTTTTAGTAGTCATTTCTAAACATTAATCATATAGTTGCCTACTGCATGCAGAGTCAAATAAAGTGAAGTAAACATGCTTCGAGTGTTGATTTATCTCTATCTATCTATCACCTGTAAGTATTGAACGGAAGCATCTAGAAGCTAAAAGTGTCGAGAAAGGGAAAGATACCTGAACGTTCTCATCGTGTGGAACAAGAACAGGGGACGCTGTGTGAAAGACACCATCAACTCCTGTCACTGCCTCATCAAAGCTTCCTTCCACCAACAGATCTGCCTTGAAAATCTTCAGTCGCTCTTTGGCTCCACTTAGTTCCGTGAGAAACCCAACCTTCGTCACATCCCCTGATGAAAAAGATAACATGGAGAAATGAGTCAGAGTGAGGTTGAGCCATCAAAAGTTGATGAATCGCATATGGCATACCTGGGTTTCTCACGGTGGTCCTCACCGTGTAACCCTTTTCCAGTAAGCTCTTAACCAAGTAAGATGCAATGAATCCAGCACCCCCTGTCACGCAAAACTCTGCCATCTCTAATTACTTTTTCTTTGGGTCATGGGTTTCTAGGTTCTCATCCCGTACATCGGTCTAATTTAAGACTGTTTTGGTGGCAGAAGCGTCACGTGAAATGAATGTATAACCTATGTTTGGTGGAACACAGATGATTCACTCGATTCCCTACATAATTTCTGGACAAGATATATGTTGACAACTCCGATAAACAAACAATCTTGAAAATAATTTATTTTTATTAATATGTTAATTATAAAATAATTTAATAAAAATTAACATAAATTAAAATTATTATTATAATATTAAAAATATATTATTTTTAAAATTATATAATTTAGGGTTGTCAAAAATATATTCTTTTAAATAATTTTTATTAAATTATTTTATAATTCTCTTTTTTCATAGGAATAAAAATAATAAATAACATGAAAATTTAGACATTACAAAACATCTAATATTTTTTAAAAGAGAAACGGTTCAACTTTATTATTTTTTTTAATATATTTATTTTTAATTTTTTTAAGATTAGTTATCTCAAATTCAATCTGTTATTGTTTATTTAAATTTTTTAATTATTTTATGATTATTTTCTATAAAAATGAGATTGTAACATCTCAATTAATGTAAAAGATAAACGTTATCTTATCTTAAAAGATAAACATTATTAAAATCATAATTACTGTATTTATGATTACGTAATTAAATAAATAAATAAAAATTTGTTATAAAAAGGGTAGGGGAAGGATTGGTAGGGAGAAAGAGAAAGGGAAGAGAGAAAGGAAGAGAGAGAGAAAGAAGAAAAGAGAAAAAGAAGAAGAGAAAGAGGAAGAGAGAGAAAGAAGAAGAGAGAGAGGAAGAGAGAAAAGGAAGAGAGAGAAAGAGAAAGAAAGAAAGAGGGAAGAATGAGAAAGAAGAAAAAAAAATTGTCTCTACAAAAATTTTGGTACCTCATCTGCAACTCTTAAGGTAGGGGAGGAGAATATTATCATTAAATCTATTTTATTTTACTTATAGTTGTGGAGTGAGGTGTCTCTAACCTCATTCTATTTATTTAGTTATTTGTTTATTTATCTCTAACTACGTATGACCCTACCTTATGCTTGTTTATTTTATCTCCAGTCTTGCACTGGTCCTATTTTAATTATCTCCAGTTATGTACTATTCCTATTTGTTTATTTTATTTTATCTCCGGTCTTGCAGCTGGTCCTAATTTAATTATCTTCGAGTTATGTCTCGGTCCTGTTTGTTCATTTTATTTTATCTTCGAGTCTTGCACTTGGTCTTATTTTAATTATCTCCAGTTACGTCTTGGTCTTGTTTGTTTACTTTATTTTATCTCTAGTAATGCAACAATCTTATTTATTAATCTATAGTTATATTATTCAATTACAATAATATCTATTTGTGAAGATTTGATGATATTGTAGATGGAGGTTGGACCTTGGGGATTTAAATGAGTAAATATCACTATGAGAGTGATTAAAATTGAACTCATTTATCCTGACTAGTCACTACAAATTTAATTTAAATCTTCATAAAATAGAATGTGTTGAGGAAGTTGAAACATATATATTTATATATTATAAGATTGTATTATTGTAATTGATAAATGTTCTCATTCCCTATTGTGATCTTTTGTGCATGCTTTATTTAAAAATCAACTTAAGTAGATGGAGGTGCCAAATATTCCAAATCCCTTTTCTGCAAGCATCACTGTCTTCTTTCCCAGAACTACTTGGAACACAAATGTTGTAGACAATTCGGTTACTTTTAGAGGGACAAGATTTTCAATAATAACATTTGTATCTGATATGGGAAATCCCATTATGTTAGATGGGCCAGTAGGGGTTACCTTTTGTATGCCTCCTACCTTTTTCCAAAACCCCTTAATTAGTTTGTTTCCACCGCAATGTAGATACTTGTAAAATCGTAGAAAAAAATAGAAGGAATCAAAAATAAAATTCCTTCTTCTATTGTATATCTTATATAGTGATGTAAATTAATTTTACATATATGTAATATTTTTTGACCTCCTACTCTTATATAAATAATAATAATAATAATAATAAACATCACATTAAATGGTATCAGAGCAACGTTTCATGTGTGACATGTACAATGAGTCTATCATGATATCTTATGAATCCTAACTTATATAATTCCAGATGGTAAATAATAGAAGGAACAACGAGTTGACAGAAGCAGTATAAGCTATCCGAGACATAGCCGATGCATTATTAAGGAACCAAAGACCTGAAGGAACCAATGGATCACAAGGTTTAGTTGAATTTAGGAGAAACAAGCCTCCGCAATTTTCTGGAGGATATAACCCATAAAAGGCTGAATTATGGATTAAAGAATTGGAAAAAATATTTCAAGTTATGAACTGTCCTGATGACCAAAAGGTGAATTATGTTGTGTTTATGTTGATAGGAGAGACTGAATATTGGTGGGATAGTACTAGGAGATTACTAGAAGGAGGAAGAATAATCATTACTTGGAAAGTGTTTAGAACAAAATTTTTAGAAAAATATTTTCCCAATGATGTGAGAAGAACAAAAGAAATAGAGTTTATGCAATTAAAGCAAGGAAGTATGACAGTAGGAGAATATGCCTTTAAGTTTGAAGAGCTAGGAAAATATTCTGCATTCTTTTATCACCCTGATGAAAGAATGAAGTGTATAAAATTTGAGAATGGACTTAGGCCCGAATTGAGAAAAGCGGTAGGAATACTAGAAATTTCTGATTTTCCTACGCTTATTCATAAATGCAGATTTTTGGAAGATTTTGAAAATCATCAAAGTAGTAAACCAAAATCTTTTGGACCCCAGCATAATAAAAGGAGACAAAATGAAGAAAAACCTTACAACCGCCCCCAATGGAGATCCCAACCCAATCAATTTTCTGCAGGAAATTTTAATAACCGTATAAATAATCAGCTCAAGTGTTTTAAGTGTGGACAAGATCATTATGCTAAAGATTGTCATCTTAAAGGACCTGTCTGTTTCAAGTGTGGGAAACCTGGTCATATATTCTCCGAATGTCGGCAACAAAAACCAAATTCTGATCCTTCTACACCAAAAAGAAGACCTCAGACAACGGGAAGAGTATATACCATGAATGGAACTGAAGCTTCTCGGAATAATGATTTGATCCAAGGTATGTGTTTCATTCAAGGCAAAGCTTTAAATGTCTTGTATGACTCGAGCGCAACTCATTCATTTATTTCCAATGATTGTGTCCAACACCTTGAATTGCCGACTTCTTTTCTAGATAATAGTTTGATTGTTTCAACTCCCACAAGTAAGTATGTAATCACCAATAAAATTTGTCTAGATTGTCCTTTGTTCATTGAAAACAGGAAATTCCTTGTAAATTTAATTTGTCTACCTTTATCTCAATTGGATGTAATCCTGGGTATGGACTGGTTATCTTCCAATCAAGTCCTTCTAAATTGTGCAAAAAAATCAGTAATATTTTCAAATTCTGAAAATCTTTTGAGTTTCTCTACCAACTCAGTAAATGAGTCTTTAAAGAACAAAATTCAAGGATATTTGTTACTATCTTCTGTGGAAGTAAAAGAGGAAGTCGATTTGAAAAAGATAGCAGTTGTTCAAAATTTTTCTGAAGTTTTTCCTGATGATATTCCTGGTTTACCACCCAACAGAGAGATTGAATTTTCAATAGATTTAATACCTAGAACTGGACTAATTTCTATGGCACCATATAGGATGTTCCCTTCTGAACTGACAGAACTGAAGAAACAATTGGAAGAATTACTTGGAAAACAATTCATTCGTCCTAGTGTATCACCTTGGGGAGCCCCTGTTTTATTAGTTAAGAAGAAAGATGGCAGTTTTAGGTTGTGCGTAGATTATCGTCAGTTAAATAAATTCATCATAAAGAATAAATACCCTCTTCCAAGAATAGATGATTTGTTAGATCAATTAAGGGGAGCTTCTGTATTTTCTAAAATAGATTTAAGATCAGGATATCACCAAATTAGAGTAAAGGCAGAAGATGTACAAAAAACTGCATTTAGAACTAGGTATGGTCATTATGAATATCAAGTGATGCCTTTTGGTGTGACCAATGCTCCTGCAATATTTATGGATTATATGAATAGAATTTTTCGTCCATTTTTAGATCATTTTGTTGTGGTTTTTATAGATGACATTCTTATTTATTCTAAAACTTTTGAAGATCATGCGGACCACCTTCAAGTTGTTCTTCAAATTTTAAAAGACAAACAATTGTATGCTAAATTGTCTAAGTGTGAATTTTGGTTAAAAGAAGTGAAATTTTTAGGTCATGTGATTTCCAAAGAGGGAGTGTCAGTAGACCCAACTAAGGTAGAAGCAATTCTACAATGGGATCCACCAAAAGCAGTGACTGAGATTCGTAGTTTCCTGGGTTTGCCTGGATATTATAGGAGATTCATTGAAGGATTTTCTAAAACGGCTATGCCTTTAACCCAACTCACCAAGAAAAGTCAAGTTTTTGAATGGACAGAAAAGTGCGAAAATAGTTTTCAAGAACTTAAGAGAAGATTAACCACTTCCCCTGTACTAGCATTGCCTAACCCAACTGGACATTTTGTGATATTTTGTGATGCTTCCAAAATGGGATTAGGATGTGTTCTTATGCAAGATAGAAGGGTAGTTGCATATGCCTCGAGACAATTAAGAACACATGAGAAAAATTATCCAACTCATGATCTAGAACTAGCCGCCATCATTTTTGCACTCAAAATATGGAGACATTATGTGTATGGTGGTAAGTTTGAGGTTTTTAGTGATCATAAAAGTCTTAAATACTTGTTTGATCAAAAAGAGTTAAATATGAGACAGAGAAGATGGATGAAATTTTTGAAAGATTATGATTTTGAATTACATTACTATCCAGGAAAGGCAAATGTAGTAGCAGACACTTTAAGTAGAAAATTTTTACATGTCTCTTCCCTTATGATACATGAGATGAGTCTGCTAGAAGAGTTCAGAAACATGAATTTATCAATT